GATGGCCAGATGGTCCGTTCTCCCCTCCCTTTAGATTACTTACGAAGGGCAGAATTCTGCTCTGCTCACACAGAAGATGGGGGGGGGGACCACCAACCTTTTCCTGCCGACATTGACCCTTTAGAAACTGGCTGTGTTGCCAAATTACTCAGATTTCAGGCACGACAAACACCAGCACAGTTTTTCAACATGTAGTTTCTACAGAAGTCAGCGGGAACACTCTGCTCATGGCCGTATGTAGAACTGCAACAAAATACTCAAATTACACTGTGGAATCGTCTTGTTTGAAAATACAGGTTGCATTTGTGTGAGTGTTTGGAGGGGAGGTTATATTTTTTACATAAAAAGGCCAAATGGGCAAGCGTTGGTGGTTATACCCAGTGTGACTAGTAGGGCAAAAAGCAGTGAGCCCAACAGTTGGTGGACCCAGAGCAAATTGCTGGTGGAACCAACAAATTCTAGTTTTGTTCCCAACCTAGTGCCTGCTGTGCCCTAGAAGGGACAGCATTAGGACTGAGGAAGAGGAAGATGGCAGGCGGTCCAGAGCGTGCTTGTCAGTTATCAAAGAGTGCTGCTTTTGATGGGCTCCTTCCTCTGATCCAGCAAAGCAACTTGTACATTCTTAAAATCTTATTCTATCTTTAAAAATAAAATAAAAAATCAGCTGGGACAGAAAGCCCCGAATAAGGCAATTGTGATCTGTAAAATGACATTTGAAAATTAACATGCGGCTATTGTATTGTAAGCTGTGATAAAACTTCTATTATTAACACCCTGCCCTTTCTTATTGCCAGCTTAATTTCATTCAAGGTTTAACACTCTGCTCCTCAATTGTGCCTTGGGGGGTTGTAGTATAATAGAACAATCATTTTCCTTTCTAATTTTCTATTAAAATACCAAACTGCTTTGCCTCTAAAGTTCAATACTCTGTTCTAGTTCTCACTTAGCCGCTTAGGTGGAAAACTTGTGTCTGGGCAAGACCACTTCAAACTGCAGAGGGGTGCTCACACGCTCCTCATCACATACAAAAAAAAATTCATTGGAACTCTGGCAGGAATTTCACATTTTGGGGGGCCCTGAGGATCATTCAGTTGTGAGCCCACACATCTCAGCCACAAGTTGGCTATCTCAGTAGGAATTAGGTTGCTCTTTAGCAGATGTTTCTCTTTGGATTAAGAATACCAAACCCAGACTGACAACCTGGACATGTATTTGTTCAGGTTTGTAGAACAAGATGTTCATTTGTGCTTTGAACTGCCCCACAAAGAACTAAGAATCATGTAATTGTAGATTTAGAAGGGACCCTGAAATATACCCGGAGTCGAAAGTGGATTTCATGCTCTTTATTCAGCTCATAGTGGTGAGGAGGAATGGAAGTTCCCCCACAATATCTGCTTTATATACATTATTTACACAATGGGCTGCACGTGATTGGTTAATTCCGGGATTCTCCTGTAGGCCAATCAGGTTGTGGATTCACTTCTACCTGGAGCTGGATTGGGTGGCTCCTGCGGACCAATCATACTGCTGCATTGTTCTAGGACCAATCAGACTGCTGCATTCTGAATCCTATTGTTCTAGGACCAATCAGACTGCTGCATTTTGGATCCTATTCAACTCAGTACGTAACAGACCCAAGGATCATCTTAGTCCAACCCCCTGCAATGCAGGAATCTCAGCTAAAGCATCCATGACAGATGACCAACAGATGACCATCCAACTTCTGCTTAAAAACCTCCAAGGAAGGAGAGTCCACCACCTTCCAACAGAATTCATTCTACAGTTGAACAGCCCTTATGGCTAGAAAGTTTTCCTGTTGTTTAGTCAGAATCTCCTTTCTTGTAACTTGAAGCCATTGGTTTGAGTCCTACATATAATCCTGCTATTTCCCAGTTCCTGACTGGTCTGTTCTTTTCGAATAGGCTATACCCTTTGATTTCTACATTCCAGTCATGAGTCTCATCCCACCAGGTTTCAGTAATGCCTATTAGATCATATTTGCCAGTCAGTATTAAGAGCTCAGATTTGTCTTGTTTCCCATACACTGTGTCTTAGTACAACTGAAACTATGAGCCATTCCCTCCAGCAGCTTCCTTCTTGTAGTCTCCTGCCCTTTATAAGGTTTCTGTAGCACCACTTCAGTTTCCTCTGCATCGACAAAGCTATTATCCCCAGTACCAGATGTTCCCCTGTTGTCTGTGTCTACCTCCTCCCCAGTATTTAGTTTAAAGTTATCCTGATCAGGTTCGTGAGACTTATAGCAAACGTATTCTTGCCAACCACTATGAGGTTTCCAATTAAACTTTTTATTGCACTAGCCATAGGCCATGGCATCATTCAGAAGGAGAACAAAAAGAAAAAGGAACAACAATAACCTTAAAAATCATCGGGCACAGACATACAATAAAATCATGGTCACGGCTACTAGAATTATTTGTTGCATTAAATAGAATAGCAGAAGATTCTCAGGTAAGATGTGCCAAATTAAATATCCAAATCCCCTTTGCAGTTGACCACTATTTTGTCTAGTTCCTTCCTTCTGATCTTCTTAGCTGCCAGCGCATAGAGTGTTATTTTATAAGTAACAAAGTCATTGGTGTTGCTCAGCAGCCATTTCACCCTTTCCACCCTATTCAAATGTGTTAACCACTATGAGGTGCAACCCAGCTCTTGCTAGAAGTTTTTTTTTTTCAAGGAAGCAGAGGCCAGTGTCAAAGAAGAAGTGCATTTGGATCTATTAGCTTCTGAAAATTGTTCCACAAATATCTACACGTGTGTGTGTGTGTGCATGCGTGTGCATGTGAATGCACCCACATGTGTCCCAAATCTGCTCAGGATGGTCAGGAGAACCTCTGGAACAGCATGCAGGGAGTGGGGAGATTGTTCTACCTGCAGAAAATTGCCTTAGCATGGCATTGCATTCCACCCATGTATACTTAATCACAACTTGATTCACTCATCTAATGATGCTTTGAGATTTCAGGAACCGAGGTCTTATTAGCATTGCTGGGAGGTGGTGTGACAGCTGTGTCACACATGAAGCATTTATTTGCTCCTGTCAAGTATTCCCCCTGCCCCATCCCTCAAATCATTCCATGAGCATAATTCTGGTCTTTCCAGGGGCATTCGTTCCCTTGTAGCGGGATTCTCTCCTTAGTGCTTTACTAGAACGAATCAGCTTCTTTCCTATTTGAGTGAAACAAGGTGGGGTTAGCTTTCCTGCACTTCCTGAAATGTGCAAAGGAGCCCTCAGAGTAAACATTCTTACTGGCCCTTCATACCTACATAACCTTACATTCTGCTACATATTCTCTCTTAAACATTTGACTTTCAGATCAGCAGCTACACAGACTGCCTGATGCCAGCATTTTTCAAGCCATTTGTTTCCCATATGCTTCTATTTTCTTCCTCTTCACGCCTGCCTGCCTGCCTGCCTGCTTATAAGCAAGCAAGCAAGAGAATAACTTGTTCCCCACCTACACGCCCTTCCTCCTATTTGCCCTGCTTGCTTCTCACTGACATATTCTCCAGACAGACCTGCTGCTTACCTATTGAGGGATGTACAAAGGCATTGATTTCCTTTCTGACTCATGGTTGTCGCATGCCTTGATTTTGTTTCTGTTCTTCTGCAGTTTGGCCTCTGACAAAAACGTGAGTCGTCTCATTGTCTCCTATGGAGGAATTTTACAGAATTAATTATGTGATTATTATCTTATTCTACATCATTTGCTTCATTTAAAAGGAAACACAATTCAAATTGAGGGTGGGGTTCATTATGTATTGTTTGAATACTGAAAGCAACAGCCAATGCCAATTGCATTTGCTGGATTGATTTCTTTTCCGGACATGGGAGGCAAATAATTGGCAATTTTTAGTCCCATTTCTGTTGGAATTCTCCAACATCCCTGCCTACTGATTTAACCTTTTTCACTAAGGAAAGAGGGGAGCTAACATGATTGAGGGATGGCTTTTTAGATGCACATCTGGCAACTGGCTGTGTTGAAGCCATGTGATTGCTACTGACTCTCACCAATGCCACACAACACACACACCCCACACACGCAATTACAGAATCATTGGGGTTTGGCACTTGACAGCAAATACTTGAAAGGCCACTACTGCAAATGAATGTCCAATCTGATCTGCTGACTTCTCCACATAGCACTCAGCAGTCACAAGAGCCACCTGTCTGCAGCAGCACTGCTAAAGATTAGCATGAATTAACTCCCTGCCACCACAAAAAAATCCCAATGGTGGCAGTAGGCTCTCAAGCAACTGGGTGCTCAGGGTCTGCAACACATTGTTTTATGAGAACTTTGGCCTGATCGTATCCCATGCTGAGTAAAAAACCTAGAGAGAAGCCCAGGTTGAGATTTTAGTTGCCACAGCCTGTTTCCACGTGGATTGAAAATCACCATTCATAGTTAGTGGGGCAAGGCCAAGGGAAAATAAGGATAATCTGAGCCAGTAGTTGAGTATGGTCACCTACACTGTAGCCTCCACTTTTATGAAACCTGTCTCTAGTCTCAGGGTGGCACTAGGGACACATTTTGGGACTTGAAGGGCTGATCTTAGAAATTTGGAATGTACAAGTTCTAGGGGTGCAAAATTGGAGAAGGGGCCTGTGGCGTTTGTATGGAGCCCCCGGTCGTCTCATGGACTATTGACCCTTACACCACTAATCCGCTGCCACCAACCAGGTCCTCCCCGGTAAAATCACTTCAGCCTCAGTCAGGTTCTCAATTAATAAAGAAGAGTGTATTTTATTTCAGACACAAACAAACTTTTACGGCATTCCCAATGTTGTTGCTCTTTACTTTCTTAGTCTTATTTTCCTCTCTCTATCTCTTCTACCTCCCCTCACTCAAGAACCCACTGCCCTAACTGTCTCTCTATTTCCAACTGCCTGCCAACTGCTTCTCCAACTGCCTTTCCCAACCAACCAACCCACTAAAACCAACCAACTACCCACCACCAACTCTCAACAACTAACTCAAACCTCAGGCTAAGCCCTTTTATACACAGGTGGGCTCTGCCTCCGGCTTTCCTATTGGTCTATATTTTTAACTCTATCTCTTCCCCCTGTTCAAATATTTTCTAAACAAACGGGCAAATGCCACAGGGCCCAACTGGGCACCATAGAGAAGTTGTGAAGGGACAATCTCCTAGTGCAAAGATGGCCTCCTACTTTCCCACCTAGCGTGCTCCCTGAACTGCTGGACTGATGAGGTATTGTGAGAGGCATTTGGTTCCTCAGGGGAAGGAACCCATGAGAGTCCTGGCTTTGATTCTATGGGCTTTGCTCCCATGGAAGATTGTTCTGTGGGTTCCTGTCTGTCAGCTTCAGACTGATTGGGTTTCTGCTCTCCAGAAGCAGCTTCACAACCCTGAAACTAGTCCAGCTCCTTGGGGGATGGAATGGAAGTCCAGCAAGCAAACACCAGACCTCTTTTTTCAATCAGTAGCTGAGCTGAATTCCACACAGTCACAAAAACAAAAAAGCCACAGAAGGAAAATCGCAAAATAAATAGCAAAAACAGACAGGCCTCAGCGTAACACTCAAAAAGGTAGTGTGGCACTCAAACTGGAAGCGTAACACTCAAAACAGAGCACGATTGACTTCCGAAAAAAGTTTGCAAACCATAACACTTCCGGGTTAGCAGTGTTTGGGTTCCAAGTTGTTTGAGTACCAAGGCGTTTGAGAACCAAGGGACCACTGTATATGGTATGCCCCGTGGAGGACCTTAAGGTCCACAAATGGCAACATTTTGGAGGTCCCAGGTCGCAAGGTGGTTAGATTGGTCTCAACTAGAGCCAGGGCCTTTTCAGTACTGGCCCTGACTTGGTGGAACGCTCCGTCACAAGAGACTAGGGCCCTGTGGGACTTGACATCTTTCTGCAGGGCCTGCAAGGCAGAGCTGTTCTGCCTGGTCTTTGGTTTGAAGTCAGTCTGACCCTTATGTCTTCCCTCCCCTTACGGTTTTGATCTATGGGCTACTTTTAAAATGAGGCTACATTTTAAATTGCATTTTAACCTGTATTTTAAATTGGTTTTTTCCTATTATGTTTTTACTGTAATTTTATTGGTGTTAGCCGCCCTGAGCCTGGCTCTGGCCAGGGAGGACAGGGTATAAATAAAATTTATTATTATTATTATTATTATTATTATTATTATTGCAAGGAGATGCCACCAGGGCTAAAGTCTGGTAGGAAGCACAAGCTCAATGGGCCTCCTAAATCCAGAGGGGAGGAAGTGGCTGGCGGTTGTCCAGTGTAACCCAAAGAAAGCTCTCTGCACGTGCTCAGAAGTGCATTCCTTACAGCTTCAGGATCTCCAACCATTCATTTCTCGGTTGCAGCCCAAGGCAGCGAAGCCACAAGGATCCAGGGATTCGTTTTCCGGTGCCGCCCAACCTATCAACTGCTTACCTGCCCAACGTTGCTGGCTGGGGTCAGTCGAGTTTTCTTTTTCGCCCATTGCTGTGACTTCTGCCTCTTTGGTCGTTTCCTGCTTGCCTGGGATTGCACTGGGAATTGCAGATTGAGGACACGTAGGGAGACAGGCCCACAAGTCCCAGTGACCTGCAGAGTGGACCGTAAGATTATAAGGTGCTGCCCTATATGGAGCCAGATCATTGGTCCATCTAGTTCAGTGTTGGCTACATTGGCTGGCAGCAGCAACTTTCCAGCGTTTCAAGCAGAGGATTTATTGCCCAGGACTGAACCTGGGACCTCCTCCATGCGAAGGATGTGCTGTACCAAGGAGCAGTGGGCTCTTCCCCTGTTATTTGGGGCATCTACTTGGCATGCAGAAGGCCTTGGGTTCCATCCCTGGCATCTCCAGGTAGGGCCAAGATGGGAAAGGCTAAAACCCTGGACAGCCACCGACCGTCAGTGTACACCAGTATTGAACTGGCCTAGTTCTTTAAAGACTTTTTTATTTGAGTTTTTCAACAATGCAATTATAGTAGCATACAAATAAAAATGGGAAGTCAAAATAGGAATGAGGTTGACATGAGTTATAGTGTTTCAACCATACAAATATACTGTATCGCTCAGTATGACGCATGTCTCAAGCTAACCAAATGTTCTCATATTTCTCCTCATTGTGTACTTGTCAATAAATGGCCAGTTCAAATAAGGGCAGGGAGTGCAAATTGTTAATCCACAGCAATGACAATGCCTTCTTCCAATACTGAAGCACCTTGCATTTGGCTGACCCAGCAGACACATGTCACAGAAAAGGCCCGGTGGTAAATTCCAATTATTGAGGATGTAATTCAGCAAAACATTTTAAATGCTGTGAGGTTTCTAATACTAAATTAATAATTGGTGGTGGAAAGAGGGAATCAGAAAGTGAGTATGGTATCCCTTTCCAAGACTGGAGTACTTCAATGCTTCTCATGGCCCCAGGAGGACAACCCAGCAGAATATTGCAGGGTTAATCTGTTTTCTTTTTCAGTATTGCACATATATTATGGCTGCTGCCAATATCCGATTATCAGAGAACAAAAAGTTCCTGCTAAGCCAGCTCTTCTCAGCACTGTGCCTGCTGTTCTACAGCAGGGATCTATGCTTTTCCCTGTTCCTTATTTCCACAATGCAGAATATGCAGCGTTAGACCTTGTAATTCAAATAGTAACAAAACAAAGTTTTTATTTCTGTGTCTCTTTAAGATTTGGACTCAACTCCAGCTGGAGTTTGAGAAACCTGTAAAGCAGAGAGATAAAGAGTTCAGTATCCCAGGATTCATTTCCCAGATGATTTTATTATTCCCCAGAAATACTTTTCTAACATGTTCAGGATTCATGCCTCCACATATGCATTCATAAGAATAGATTTTGCATGCATTCTAACACTCCTTTGACAAGGGTTCACTGGTAGCTGTGTGGAAATCTCTTGACTTGTTTCTTAAGTTTTTTGTTCCAGGAAAGCCATACCCTGAGGACAGCCTATATACCGGTAACCCAATATGACTTCACAACACATCTACTAAAAGGCTCTTCAGCAGACACCAAATGACTGGAGAAATGACAGCCGCAGATGATTGACACTAATTCTGTAAAAATTTCCAGAGGTGTAGTCACATAAGTCTCTTGCAGCAAAAAAACAAAGGGTCTTGTGGCATCTTAAAAACTGATTATGGCATAAGCCTTTGTGGGCTGACAAGTGGCTTTGCATCCCAAAGAGCTCCTGCTGTAATAAATTTGGTAGGGTGGTATTCAACTATGCTTCATTCAGAATCAACCCACTGAAAATAATGAACATGTCTAAGTTACGTCCATTGATTTCAGTGAGTTTACTCCAAGTAAAACATAGTTACTGTACATATCACCCTTTGGCTGCAATCCTATACCCCTTAACTGGAAGTAAGTTCCATTGACCTTGTTGAGCCTTACTTCTGAACAGCAGACAAGTTTAGGATTGTGTTGTTAGTCTTTAAGGTGCTACAAGCCACTTTATTTGCTTTTTATTTTTATTTTTTTAAAATGAGGCTGTCTAGTTTAAAATAAATTAAAGTTAGTAATAAATGTTGGAAATGTAAAGAAAAAGAAGGAGCATTTTATCACATGTGGTGGGAATGTAAGAAGGTGAAAAGCTTCTGGGAAATGATATATAATGAGATGAAAAAAATGTTGAAATACACATTTATAAAGAAACCAGAAGCATTTTTACTGGGCATTGTAGGAAGTGATATAAGTAGAAAAGATTGTAAGCTGTTTTTATATGCAACGACGGCAGCAAGAATATTATTGGCACAAAAATGGAAGCAAGAAGAATTACCGACGAAAGAAGAACGGAGGATGAAATTAATGGACTATGCAGAACTAGACAAATTAACAGGAAGGATTCGAAATCTGCAGGACCTGAAATTCACAGAAGACTGGTGTAAATTTACAGACTATTTGAAAAGTAATTGTGATGATCAGATTACGTTTGTAGGTTTGCAAGAAGTTTTGTGAGGTGAATTATTGGTACTACTGCAAAAATGGATAAAGGGGAGGATCGTTAGTTAGGATACTTAAAGGCAATATGAACTTAAGAAATGCATAAGAAGTGATAAAAACAGTGGATCATCAGAGGTGCTGATGGAAGTCCAAAAAAAGATTGTATAAGTGGTGAAGTTTTGTGGTACGTATTATAATTTATATGTTAAAATCAATAAAATTATTATAATAAATAAATAAAAATAAATTAAAACCAGGTAGTGACTAAAATGTTCTAATGTGCTCCCAAACCAGTTACCAATAACGACTTTTTGATATCAGAAATATATGAGAAGTGGACAGGATACCTGAACCAGCAGCGTAGCAATCCTTGCCGGCATCTGGAAAGACCAAAGTTATTGAGTCTTTTTTAATGAAGTCATAGTTGTGCAGCTTTTTTTTTGAAAATCAAAGTTGTTGAGCTTCCTGTCCTCACCAATTCAGGAACAGGAAGTGGCTCCCCTCCCCCTGCAGCATCCAAAATGCCCAGCGACCGCCACGATCTCTCAAGCTCCCCTGCTGCCCAACACAAAACAGCCACCGTGCCACCCTACAGACCCTCATGCCACCCAGTGTGGACCACCCACCCCTGGCTAGCTATGCTACTGACCTGAGCGATAACTGATTCTCTAATTTACTATGGTAGTGGCTCATATTAATTCAATTGAACTATGAAGATAGATTTGCTAACCAGAACACATTGAGTTCTACTGGTAGCATCAGCCTATGGAGGATGTTCTGCTTGCAGGAACTCATGCTAGTGGCAATGACAGCTCCTTTCTTCCTCCATGGGCACAAAGAAAATTGTTTTCTATTGAGACTGTAGGCCCACCTAGTTCAGTGTTTTTTACACTCACTGGCAGCAGTTCTTCAGTTTGAGACAGGAATCTTCTCTAGCCACACCTGGAAATACCTGCCTCTGTGGGCATATCAAATATTCCATAATCATTTGCTTCTGCTCCATCATACTTGGAGCTTGATTTGAACCAGGACTGTTGGCTATAGTTCAGTTCCACTTTCATAGGACTTTACTGCCATGGAACATACTCAGACATCACTCCACTGCAATCATTTCAGTTCACAAAACATTTGCAACTGACTCATAGAATCATAGAGTTGAAAGGGACCCCAAGGGTCATCTAGTCCAACCCCCAGCAATGTAGGAATCTCAGCTAAAGCATCCATGACAGATGGCCATCCAACCTCTGTTTCAAAACCTCCAAGGAAGGAGAGTCCACCACCTCTTGTGGGAGTCTGTTCCACTGCTGAACAGCTCTTGCAGAAAGTTTTTCCAAATGTTCTTTCTTGCAACTTGAAGCCATTGGTTTGAGTCCTACCCGCCAGAGCAAGAGAAAACAAGCATGCTCCCTCCTCCATGTGACAGCCCTTAAGATATTTGAAGATGGCTATCATATCTCCTCTCAGTCTCCTCTTTTCCAGACTAAACATAACCAGCTCCTTCAATTGCTCTCCATAAGGCTTTCCAGATCCTTGATCATCTTGGTTGCCCTCCTCTGCACACGTTCCAGCTTGTCAACATCCTCCTTAAATTGTGGTGCCCAGAATTGGACACAGTATTCCAAGTGTGGTCTGACTAATGCAGAATAATAAAAAAAAGGTAAAGGACCCCTGATAGTTAACTCCAGTCGTGAACGACTGGGGTTGCAGCGCTCATCTTGCTTTACTGGCTGAGGGAGCCGACGTTTGTCCACAGACAGTTTTTCCGGGTCATGTGGCCAGCATGACTAAGCCGCTTCTGGCGAAACCAGAGCAGCACACGGAAACGCCGTTTACCTTCCCACCGGAGCAGTACCTATTTATCTACTTACACTTTGACATGCTTTCGAACTACTAGGTTGGCAGGAGCTGGGACCGAGCAACGGGAGAGCACCCTGTTGCGGGGATTCGAACCGCTGACCTTCTGATCGGCAAGCCCAAGGCTCAGTGGTTTACACCACAGTGCCACCCGCATCCCATAAATGCAGAATTTGTTGTTGTCGTTTAGTTGTTTAGTCGTGTCCGACTCTTCGTGACCCCATGGGCCAGAGCACGCCAGGCACTCCTGTCTTCCACTGCCTCCCGCAGTTTGGGCAGACTCATTTTGGTAGCTTTGAGAGCACTGTCCAACCATCTCGTCCTCTGTCGTCCCCTTCTCCTTGTGCCCTCAATCTTTCCCAACATCAGGGTCTTTTCTTTTTTTTTTTTAAAATAAATTTTTATTAATTTTCCAAGCACAAAATAAAAAAAACAAAGAAAAAACAAACAATACACAATACACCGACATACAAACATATAAACATGTATAATTTCATAACCATTTTTTCATAAACCTTACTTTCCGGACTTCCCCATACCTCCCCTTTTCTGCATCCTTGTTTTATATTTCTTCAGCAACTCCTCAGTCGGCTAATTTTTCAGTTCAATTTCTTTTAAGTTCTTCTAATATTGTTAATTACAGCTGCAATTCTCTGTTTCACAACCCCTTGACATTTTAACATTCCTGAATTTTACAACAAGTTCTAAGATAAACTTTGAATTTCTTCCAATCTTCTTCCACTGTCTCTTTCCCCTGGTCACGGATTCTGCCAGTCAACTCCGCCAGTCCCATGTAGTCGATCACCTTCGTCTGCCATTCTTCCAGTGTGGGTAGTTGTTGTGTCTTCCAATACTTTGCTAGAAGAATCCTTGCTGCTGTAGTCGCATACATAAAAAACGTCCTGTCCTTCCTTCTCACCAATTGGCCGACTATGCCCAGGAGAAAAGCCTCAGGTTTTTTAGGAAAGGTCCATTTAAGAACCTTCTTAATTTCATTATAGATCATTTCCCAAAAAGCTTTTATCCTCGGGCAGGTCCACCAAAGGTGATAAAAAGTACCTTCAGTCTCATTACATTTCCAACATTTGTTATTGGGCAGATGATAAATTTTTGCAAGCTTGACTGGGGTCATGTACCACCTATACATCATTTTCATAATGTTTTCTCTTAAGGCATTACATGCCGTAAATTTAGTACCGGTGGTCCACAGCTGTTCCCAGTCAGCAAACATAATGTTATGACCAATATCTTGTGCCCATTTTATCATAGCTGATTTCACCGTTTCATCCTGTGTGTTCCATTTCAACAGCAGATTATACATTCTCGACAGATTCTTAGTATTGGGTTCTAACAGTTCTGTTTCTAATTTTGACCTCTCCTTCTGGAAACCTATTTTCCTGTCCTGTTTAAATGTCTCGTTTATCTGAAGGTAGTGCAACCAATCTCGCACTTTGGACTTTAATTTCTCATAACTCTGTAATTTAACTATTTCCCCATCTTTTTCTAAAATTTCACAATATTTTGGCCATTTAGACTCCATATTAAGTTTTTTCACCTCTTTGGCTTCCATTGGTGACAACCACCTGGGAGTTTTACTTTCCAATAAATCTTTATACCGCATCCAAACATTATATAATGCTTTCCTAACAATATGGTTTTTGAAACCTTTATGCAGTTTTACCTTATCATACCATATATATGCATGCCAGCCAAATCTATTATCAAACCCTTCTAGATCCAAAATGTCTGTATTCTCAAGAAGTAGCCAATGTTTCAACCAGCAGAAAGCCGCCGATTCATAGTAGAGTCTTAAGTCCGGCAGGGCAAACCCCCCTCTATCTTTTGCATCAGTTAAAATCTTAAATTTTATTCTGGGCTTTTGCCCTGCCAGACAAATTTAGATATATCTTTCTGCCACTTCTTGAAACAGTCCATCTTGTCCAAAATCTGCAATGTCTGGAATAAAAACAACATTCTAGGCAATACATTCATCTTGATAACAGCAATTCGACCTAACAAAGAAAGTTTCAACCTTGACCATATTTCTAGATCTTTCTTTACCTCTGTCCAACATTTGTCATAATTGTCCTTAAATAAATTCATATTCTTAGATGTTAAGTTTACCCCCAGATACTTTACTTTTTTCGTTATCACTAAACCTGTTTCATTCTGAAACTTCTCTTTTTCAGCCAATGTTAAATTTTTGTCCAGCACTTTCGTTTTCTGTTTGTTCAGTTTAAATCCTGCTACTTGGCCAAATATCTCAATTAGTTCTAATACTCTTTTAGTACTAGTATCTGGCTGTTGCAAGGTCAGTACTAGGTCGTCTGCAAATGCCCTTAGCTTGTAATGTCTAGCTCCGACTTGTACTCCTTTAACCAACTGGTCTCCTCTAATCATGTTTAACAAAACCTCCAGGACTAATATAAAAAGTAAAGGGGATATTGGGCACCCCTGTCGTGTACCTTTTCTATAGATATTTCTTCCGTAACCACATTGTTTACAATTAACTTTGCTTTTTGTTTAGAATATATTGCACCTATACCGTTTTCAAACCCTTGACCTACCCCCATCCCTTGGAGATTCTTCTTCATAAAGCTCCAACCAATATTATCAAAGGCTTTCTCCGCGTCCACAAAAATTAAAACAGCCTTCCTATTGATGTCCACTTCTAACAGTTCCAAAATATCTATAATGTTCCTCACATTGTCCGACATATGTCTCCCTGGAAGAAAGCCAGTTTGGTCCTTATGAATCTCCCCTACCAACACTCTCTTCAGTCTTTTTGCCATAATGTCTGCAAAAATTTTGTAATCCACATTAAGTAATGATATAGGGCGGTAGTTTTTAACCTGGTTCTTTTCAGTCTCAGTTTTCGGTATAAGTGAAATAAAGGCTTCTTTCCACGACTCTGGTGCCTTTTTCCCCTCCAAAATTTCATTACATACTTCCTTCAGTGGTTGTACTAACCATTCCTTCAACGCTTTATAATATCTGGCAGTCAAACCATCTGGTCCTGGAGATTTTCCCAATTGCATCTTCTGAATGGCACCCTCTATTTCTTGTCCTGTTATTTTCTCATTCAAAATCCTTCTGCTTTGCTCTGAAATTTTTGGTAATCCATGTTTCTTAACAAATTCTTCTATTTCCTGTTCGTTGACTGGCCCTTGTGCATATAATTTCCTGAAGTAACTTTGAAAACAATTACTTATCTCGTTTGGTTTGTGGATAATCTTTCCATCCACTTCTAAACTTGTCACAGTGTTCAATTTTTGCCTCTTTTTCAATTGCCATGACAGAAGTTTCCCACATTTATCTGCTGATTCAAATGTCTTTTGTCTCATTTGCTTTATTTTCCATTCTATCTCTTGATTCATCAATTCCATATATTGCACCTGATAGTGCTTTATTTCTCTCAAAATCTCATGGGACTTTGGTTTAGACCTCAATTTCTTTTCACCTTCTTTTATTTTTTCCAGAATTTTTTCTTTCCTTTCATTTTGATTTTTCCTCTTTATGGAGTTCTGTTGTATTAGGAAACCTCGCATCACGGCCTTACTTGCGTCCCAGATTATTCTTTTTTCCACTTCTGTTCTCAAATTTATCTCAAAGTAATCTTTCAATGTTTTTTGGGCCTTCTTATAAATCTCTTCATCTCTAAATAGGGTGTCATTCATTCTCCATCTAAAGGATCCAGTTGATGTTAGTTTCATCTCCATCTTTACAGCATTATGGTCGGAGCAAGTCTTTGAGCAGATTTCTACCTTTTTGATCCTTGGCGCCATACTGCTAGTTACCCAAATTTGGTCAATTCTTGTCCATGTCATTTTTGCTTCAGAGAAAAAGTTCCCTCTCTCTCAAGAGGGTTCCTTGTTCTCCAAATGTCAATCAAGTCCATAGTTTCAGTCATTTCAAAAAAAGTCTTTGGTAGTCTCCCTTCCTTGGAAATTACTTGTCTTTGTGCTTTGTCCATATTTGTGGAGACTACACCATTCATGTCTCCCATCATTACTACTCTATAGTCTAAATAGTCCATTAAAGTCTCATGCAGCTTCTTAAAGAATTCCGCCTTCCCGTCATTTGGTGCATAAATTCCGACTATCAAGATTTTTCTCCTTGAACTTGTATTTCAATTGCCAGGTATCTTCCTTGTTCATCTTTAAATATCATCTTTGGAGCCAATTTTTCTTTTGCATAAATCACCACGCCTCTTTTCTTAACTTTGTCTGATGAAATAAATTCCTGTCCAAGTCTCTTGTTTACCAATAATTTCCTATGTGTCCTGGTCACATGGGTCTCTTGTAGACATATTAGGTCTAATTGTTCTCTTTTCAAAATATGAAAAACTTGGCGTCTTTTTCGGGAAGGTTCAAACCATTACAATTCCAACTAAGAAGTTGCAGAGACATTTTGTTATTAAGTACCTGTTCCACCGACTGCTCCTAGCTTTTGTTCATCTTCAGATGGTGGTATGAGTCCAAATGACAAGTTTGCAATGTCTGTCACTCCTTTTTCTTGTATTGTTGTTTCTACTGTTCCTTTCTGCAAGTCCTCCTGATATCTCTCCAAAAACTGTTCTTTATCTTGAACTGTTCTTATTTTGACCTTCCTTCCTTTGAAAGTAAAAGACAATCCTTGTGGAAACTCCCACCTGAAGGGTATGATATTTTTCTTCAGCAGGTAGACCAAATCTTTATAGAAGGCTCTCACCTCCAAAATATATTTAGGGATATCTTTAAAAATTTGTACTTGACTATTTTCAATCTCCAATGCCTTTTGGTAATGCAAGTTCAATATTTTATCTCTTTCTCCTTTGGATCTCAATGTGATCAAACAATCCCTTGGCTTCTTACCTTGCCTCCTGCCCAGCCGAAAAGCTGTTGTTATTTCAAGTTCTTCTTCCTGCAGCTCCTTTTGCCAAAATTCCATAAAGTTCTGTGTAAGGAAGTCCACAAGGCTGTCTCCCTCACTCTCGGGAACCAATCTCAATTTCAGATTTCTCTCTTTTCTCTGTAATTCCAGCAAAGATAGGGCTGCATCATGTTCATTCACTTTTTTTGTAATCGGCACAAGCTCCTCCCTTGTCTCCTCTGCAGTATTTTTTTGCACTTTCAGCAATCTTTCGTGTTTCAGAACTTTCTTGAATTAATTTATTAATAGATTCTGTATTTGATGTTACACTTGCAGTATTCAAGTCCAATCTTGCTGTCAGTTCTGTCAATTTTTTGGAATTTTCCGTAGATAGCTTTGTCAGTGCTTCTAAAGATTGGTTTATTTTGAGCAGTGCCTGTGTCATTGAATCCATAGATGCTGTTGCCACTTTTTCCTGTGCAGCTGGTGGTATGCCAGATATTGAGCCCCTTTTCTTTTGTGTCTGTTTTGCTTTGGATCTAGTTGTTATCTCTTCTGCTGGACCACTCATATCCTCAAGGTCGTTCTCACAGGAAAGACTTGCAAGTGGAAAATCCCACTGTTTCTTTTTCACTATAACAGTTTCTCTTTATACCCTCTAGAGGGAGCATTTAATTGTATCCAAGTGAAAAGAGAAAGAACAAGGGAACATAGAGCAATCAACAAAAAATCCAAGAGTCCACAGTAAAAGTTTCTGTCGCACTTTTTCAGTATAGTCACAAGTTCAACAAAGTAATTCCATTAAAGTCCCGTAACTTTGTCTCAGACAAAACCCCAACTTTGTATCCAGTCTAAACTGACAGTTCACTTTCCCAGTGCCTTACTCAGGCAGTCCGTTCAGGGGATTTGGCAGTGGAAGATGTTTTTTTCCTCAGTTAATTTCAGGCAGATTAACAGTGTCCAGTTTTCTTCCCCCCTTCTCCTGCTTACTGGGGGGAAGTTTAAGTCAAATGTCAGGTTTGACAGCTCAAAGATAATTTTCTTTCAAATGCAGCTTTACTCTTTCGTTGCTTTAATTGCCATGCAGATCGGGGAGGCAGACTTCCTTAATTTATGCCTTTCCCGTTTTCAGCCAAATTTCAGAATTTAAATTTAAATGTCCCGTTCAATCCCTCCGTCTTACTCACGGGGTTTACAGTCGAATTTCTGGTTCAGGAAGGAATCGGCGCTCTCCGTTCATGGCGATGCGGCTTCACTCCACGAGCTGGGTTGCGACTCTCAGCACCGCGCTCACCCCCGATGCCGCTCCGTAGCCTTTAAAAGGCTCTTTCACAGTACCGGGGCGCAAAGGTGCCCACCGAGTCTCCTTGTTCACAGGCTTCAGCGCCTGTGATTTTAGGGGTCCCCCGCTCGCCGTAGCGGGTCAGACCCGAACTCGCGGAGCAGTCCTCCTCCGGAGCTCGAAGCGAGGACCGCCATTAAACGCTGGCGCCGACCGGAAGTCTCCCAACATCAGGGTCTTTTCCAGGGAGTCTTCTCTTCTCATGAGGTGGCCAAAATATTGGAGCCTCAGCTTCATGATCTGTCCTTCCAGTGAGCACTCAGGGCTGATTTCCTTAAGAATAGATAGGTCTGATCTTCTTGAGGTCCATGGGACTCTCAAGAGTCTCCTCCAGCACCATAATTCAAAAGCATCAATTCTTCGGCGATCAGCCTTCTTTATGGTCCAGCTCTCACTTCCATACATCACTACTGGGAAAACCATAGCTTTAACTATATGGACCTTTGTTGGCAAGGTGATGTCTCTGCTTTTTAAGATGCTGTCTAGGTTTGTCATCACTTTTCTCCCAAGAAGCAGGCATCTTTTAATTTCGTGGCTGCTGTCACCATCTGCAGTGATCATGAAGCCCAATAAGGTAAAATCTCTCGCTTCCTGCATTTCTTCCCCTTCTATTTGCCAGGAGGTGATGGGACCAGTTAGAATCCCCTAGGACAACCAATCTAGGTGTCTCCAGGAGAACATCCGCCATGACCTGAAGCAGCTCGGGCAGGGAATCCTTGGTGCAGCGGGGAGGTCGGTACACCAAAAAGACTCAGAGAACTGGGTCTTCCCAATGGGACGCCTGGTGCAAACTAGTGGCTTCCTAAAAATCACTGCAACTTCCTCCCCCCTGCCCACAAGGCCTGGGTTGCTGTGCATAAGAGAAACCTGGTGGACAAGCAGTGGCAAGGACAGGCCCATCTGCTTCATCCAACCAAGTCTCTGTTACACATGCCAGGTCAAGTCCTCCATCCATGATCAAGTCATGGATGGCAGTGGTCTTATGAATCATTTACCTGGCATTGCACAGCAGCACCTTCAGGTTATGTGGGTATCCCTTGCTGATTCTAGTATCCGTCTGGTCAGGACCAGACCCGGAGGCAGGGATAGTCCTCAAACAACGACTAAACCTGCCTCCTCGGTAATGACATGGTCTGGTCTTAGCATAACTCCTCCTCCTACCCGTGATCACTGAGATCGGTTGTCCCACTGCATCCCCCCCTGTGGAACCTGCCCCAGCCATTCTGTTCGGACCCATTCCCCGGCAGCCCTGACCCCTCCCCTTAAGAACAAAATAAAACCTTTTTTTAAAAAAAAAACCCACAATAATACAAACAAAAAACTGTAAAAATTACAAACACATCAAAATCAAAGCAAATTCCCAAACCCAACCAAACATTCATCCCACCCTCACACCCCCCACACAAAAAAAATTCAAAAGGGAAAAAGGAGAATTTTAAAACATTTTAAAAAGAACACTGTGCCGCTCCGAGTCCTCCTGGCCAGCAACAGCAGCAGCAGGGCCAGGAGGTGAGTGGCAGGAGCGGGGCCCTCAGGCACTCATGCAGGGGAGTCCATCAAAAAAACGAAGATCATGGCCACTGGGCCCATCACCTCCTTCAAATCCACTGACAGTTCAGCTGGAGTTTCTGCTTCAGCCACAGCTTGATCTTCAGCTATAATCTGCTCATCACTCTTTTCACAGCACTGGATGAAGTCAAGACAAAATCCTCTGGGATATCTGTGCAGTCACCTCCTATAACAGGTGTTTCAGGAATCTTCCTTTTATCTGGACTTAGGATTCTGTGAGTCTGAGAATCCTGCATAGGCGTATGAAAAGTTACCTTCATAGGCTTCAGCATCCACTTTGGTGGCACATTTTCTATCTGTGACGGGTGAAGAATAGAAGATCTGCCTACGACTTCTGGAGATGTGAAAAGTATGGCACAGCTTTCAGCAGCTATGTCATCGCTAGCGTTATCTCCACTTAAGGTATGCAGACTCATTCTAGGTAAAGGTAAAGGGACCCCTGACCATTAGGTCCAGTCGTGGCCGACTCTGCGGTTGTGGTGCTCATCTCACTTTACTGGCCGAGGGAGCCGGCGTACAGCTTCCGGGTCATGTGGCCAGCATGACTAAGCTGCTTCTGGCGAACCAGAGCAGCGCACACTGTTTACCTTCCCGCCGGAGCGGTACCTATTTATCTACTTGCACTTTGACATGCTTTCGAACTGCTAGGTTGGCAGGAGCAGGGACCGAGCAATGGGGGCTCACCCCGTCATGGGGATTCGAACCACTGACCTTCTGATTGGCAAGTCCTAGGCTCTGTGGTTTAACCCGCAGCGCCAACCACTTCCCTCAATTCTGCCTCCCTTCCAATCCATAGTCGCCGACCCGAGAGACGCCTATTTGCCAACTGAGCTAAGCATGTCGCGAATTCCTCACGGCACTTTAGCAGAAATGCTCAGAGTTCCAGGTTCTTCAGTGCAGCATTATTTATTGTGAGCTAAATATATATACAAATATCTACAGAAGCAGTTCATACAGCCAGACAGAGTACCTGGCTGCGCCTTGAGGCAAATCAGAAGACTCTTTCTCTCTGACCACACTCCTCTACACCACCCTCCGACCACCTTTACTGCTGGACAGGTTTCCCTTTTAAACCGATGACAGCCAATCAACTGTCAGCACATTACTGCTGAGTAATTCTGACCCAGCACCTCCATAGGAAGTATTACATCAGCCTGTTGCATCAACTAGCAAACTCAAGCCTGCAGACTTACTATCTTGCACAGCATTCTGTGAATCCCAACAAAGCACTGCCGCGGCCGCCGCGTTCAAAGAAATCAGATTGGTCTGGCGTGACTTATCTTTGAGAAATCCATCCTGGGTCTTAGTAATCACAGCATTGTTTTCTAAATGCTCACAGACCGACTGTTGAATTATCTGTTCTAGGATGCTCCCTGGTATTGATGTCACGCTCACTGGTCAATAGTTACCTGGCTCTTCCTTTCCCCCCCTTTTTTGCCTGCCTCCAGTCTGTAGGGACCTCACCTGTTCTCCCAAGAATTCTAAAAGATAATAGACAAAGGCTCTGAAATTACACCCACAAGCTCCTTTAGTACCCTTGGGTGCAGTTCATCAGGCTCTGGAGATCTGCATTCATTTAAAGTAGCTTGGTGTTCCCTTACTACCTCTTTTCCTATCTTGGGCTGCAGCTCACTCCTTACATTCTTTAATCACCAGGTTGGGCATCACTTTCTTTTTGGGTGAAGACAGAGGCAAAGTAGGTGTTGAGTAGTTCCGCCTTTTCTCTGCAGACTCATGCAGTCTGCACCAGATTGCACATTAATGGGCATCAACCTTTCAACTGCATACCTGTACAGAACCCAACCCTGATTAGCCCAATGTATGGAGAAGCATCACTGTCAGGTTGCTACTTGTCACAATATGCCTGGTTACAGACATATATCTTCAAAATCTTTCCATCACTTCCTGTCTTAGCGTTATTACAGTCTGTTGAATTTCATGCAAATTCACAGCATTTTTTGGGCTGTGGAAAAGTATGCAGTATGCTTTCTCCTATTTGGGTCCCCCCTTCACAACCACACAATGCTAGCAAGTTACATTAGCGTTGCAAAACACAGAGAAAAGAGAGCAATAGCTGCACAAAACAAATGTCAGGTGCTTGTCTTAGGCAGGCAACTTCTCATATTTATTTTAGAGCTCAACATTACTATATTGTTCTTTTTATTTGATAACAGCTTTGGTAATGGCTTTCATTTGCAGTAAATCTCTCATTCTGTCTTTCTCTTTCTATTAAAGCTAGGACGGTGACCTTTCTGAGATGCCAACATGAAAGCTTTAAGAAAGAAAAGATAGAAATGTAGCCAGTGCTAAGAGGGTATTTAATGAAAATATAGTAATTATAATATCCCGGAGCCCTTAGAAAAAGCTGCCCAGCCTGCAGAATACCCAAGAATGTAATAAAGTATAATCAGTTCAGTGGTTAAAATATGTAAAACAATATACCAAACAATATACCAAAATATTTTATCAGTCAGCAAGTTTTCCATAATGAAATGTCACAGCCACAATAACTGTTGGATCATAAATCACATTCATCCTCCCAAAGCTTGTGTGAATAAGTGTTTCTTCAAATGACATCTACATTTTAAGGCAAAGCATAGTTGTAAGGGAAACAAATTTCAGTCAAGAGTGCCACAATGGAGGAGGCCCTGCCCCATGTCCCAGGAGTTCACCATGGGACTACACCGAATGATCAAGTCACCTTTTAAATTTCCCTAATACACCAGGGTGATGCTATGTTGGAGGCATGGAGGGCAGCTGGGATATTTGCTCAATGAAGCTGCATGGGGTGCTTTGCTGCAACTACTCAGTGGATTTTTCAGCACTGGTCATCCCTTTTAAGAGGTTTTAGGCCTTGCTTTCCAGAGCTCAGTGGCGTGCCAGAGTGAACTGTCTCTTTCTTCATTTCTTAATGCCATGGAAGGGAATAAAAGGTCAGCTCTCTTGCTTCTGCGTATATAGAAAACTAGGTCATTAGATCCAGCACTGTAGACAGCATGTAATGCTTAACCAAACTCCAGCACAGAGTTAAGAGCTCCCCATGTTTTTCTAACCCATATTGGCATCATCCATTTTTTCATCCTGGATAATAGCTGCTATTGCCCCTCTCCATTACTTAATAAGGGGACAGTGTGATGTTGTCAGCTACCATCTACTATATTGCAGTCTACTTGCATCCTGAGATAGCTCCAGCAAGGAATTCTCCAAACTAAGGCTGCAATCCTAACCCCATTTACTGAGGAGTAATGTTCCTTCATGTCAATAAGGACTTATTTCTCAATAGACATGGTTAGGATTACACTGCAAACTGTCTAATGACTACATCTCCATTAGGAAGTAGTGATTTGGGAATTTTGTAACCCAGAAGGCATTTCCATGCAGTCAGTCACACAAGAACTGTATGGTGATTCTAAAACCATGTATTTTGACATGTACAGTGGTACCTCTGGTTAAGTACTTAATTCATTCCAGAGATCCGTTCTTAACCTGAAATTGTTCTTATTCTGAAGTGTTAAGTTGTGGGTGAACATATCAGACAACACAGTGATTCTTCAAACAGCTCTTGTTTATTCACAGGCCTGAACTGAAGGGTTCAGCCAGAACTGAACTGAAGGGCTCAGCCAGCCTGCTTATATAGAGCTCCACTACAACACAACTGTAACCACTTTCTGTAACTATCCAATCACTGAATGTCACTTTCAATCCCTTATTTGCATATGTGGACCTGAGTGAAAACTATCTACAGTATCCCCCTGCTGGCCCAGGGTGAGATCTTCAGTACATAACATGAAGCACCACTTTAGCTAATGGGGCCTCCCACTGCTGCCGCACCGCCACTGCGCGATTTTTGTTGTCAAAAACCAATAAATTTATTAAGGAACAACTGTACCACTAACTGGAACCAGTTATTGGGATTGTATCTCACTGGTGCTTAAGTAACTACACTGGCTCCTGGTCCATTTCCAAACACATTTCAATGTGCTGCTGTGGCGCTTACTTGCAAACAGGCTTTCTAGTGAATATACACTGCTTGTGCTGTATGAAGTATAAATATATATACATCATGCGTATGTGCACATGGATTACACACAATTTCTAAGTACCTTCCATACAGTAGAGCTGTGATGTGTCAAATGCCCCCAGCCCCAGCACACTTTGTGTGTTAAGTGGCAAAAGGAATTAAAGGTAATATGTTCTTTCTGGTCCTTAACTCTCTCCCCCACAACTCCATTCTCCATCACTACCATGCATTACCATGGTACCTTCACTTAAGTGTGGGTATACCTCATGCTGCAGGAGGTAGTCAGTCTGGTTATACTGCTGCCTTCCATTTGAATTTTAAAATTATGCATATATGGATGTGCAAGAAGTATTGTAAAATAACAATATAGTCTTATTTAAACAACCTTCTTTGGGATGAATACAAATTTAATACGGATAAGAGCCAAATTTTAAATATGGTAATTTCACTTCTTTAAGCAAATAATTATCCTTTTATTACTTGTTACATGTAGGATGTCATAAGGAAATAATTCAGTTCCTAATATTCCTTGCCCCTTCACAGTCCCTCCCCCTTTTCAGGTCCTTTTATGCATGCAGAGTTCCCATAGGTCTTATGTGACAAAATATATCCAAGGCCGAATACAACAGGATCTATGATTTTAGCTACACATGCATCCCACCACATAATTAGAAGTTCATCTAACAGAATTATCATCTATTAAAAGGGGTGACTCCTACTCTGATTCTTTGCATTTAAAACAATGTTTTAACCTTAATCAGAAAATAAGGCAAAATTACAGTGGTTATCTCAAGTTAAGCAAGCAGTTTAAATTCATGTCGAACAATGACTATTTTGTTAGCTTTCCGAGCCTCAATTAGGTTATCATTTTCACTCTATAATTCAAAACATGTACTCCTCTGGTAAAGATGTGTAATAGCTGTAAATTGTGTGTGAGTATGGGCATACTTTTGACTGTTTCGGCTTAATGTGCTTTGATTCTTAACAGACAAGATAAAACACAAGAAGGTAGCGATTATCCACAATGTTGTATGCCTCCACATTTCTCCACCTACCTGCTAATATGCCACATGCACTATGGGAAAGAGACTCTGGTTGTAATATAAATTAAGAGGGCCACTTGTTCTAGAAAGAAATGGTTCTCGAAATGAATCCATCAGCTCACCATCCTGCTTTGCGTGTTTTTAAACATACACTGCCAACAGCATGTTTGGATTTCCCTTGTGTTTAGGCAGTACAGTGGTACCTCGTGATGCGAACGGGATCAGTTCTGGAGCCCCGTTCGCATCCTGAATGGAACACAAGACGCGATGGCGTGTCTGCGCACGCGCGGGTCGCATTTCGCTGCTGCCGCGCATGATGTCATTTTAAGCGTTTGCACATGCGCGAGCGGCGAAAGCCGGAAGTAACGCGCTCCGTTACTTCCGGGTTGACACAGAGTGCAACTCGAATGCACTCATCCCGAAGCACATTCAACTCGAGGTATGACTGCATCAGCAATCTTAAGTGTCGGGGGGAGAACGATGCATGTGAATGAACTAGCAGCCTGATCCTGCTTCTAGAAGGACCTTGTTTTCTTTTATCAGTTGTTATTTAGGTCAATTCAATTGCAATACACATCCTACATGTTTACTTGGAAGTAAACCCAGGTAGCAGGTGGGGCCACACCTGTGCTCAACCAGTCCTCCGGTCAGTTGTTTCACTGTGGGAGGCAGTGGGGTTTTACTGGGAGGCACTGGGGGAGGACCAGGTGGCGGTGAGATTGCCATGCTGCAAACACACAAGCAGAAGCACTAGATTGGCTTCACAAGCTTTTGTTGTTCTACAAAATAGCACTCATATTTCAGTAACTTTTCTTCCCTCCGGTGCCGGTATTGTCATCAAAACAAGCAAGAGCCTTACAAAATCCATGGATCGCAGGCCAAGATCCTGTTTGGAGAATCTGGTCCTGGTCAGAACAACCACAAAGTTTGCATTATCAGAAAAGAAAAGAAAAAATTAAATGCAGAGCCAAATGCAACTTTCTCAACTGTTTCGTAGTCTAAGACATTGAGCCTCTTGAGCTTGCTGATCAAAAGGTTGGCAGTTCAAATCCCCGTGATCAAGTGAGCTCCTGTTGCTCTATCCCAGCTCCTGCTAACCTAGCAGTTCAAAAGCACATCGGTGCAAAGAGATAAATAGGTACCGCTGCGGTGGGAAGGTAAATGGTGTTTCTGTGCGCTCTGGTTTCCATCAGTGTTCTGTTGCGCCAGAAGCGGTTTAGTCATGCTGGCCACATGACCCGGAAATTGTCTGTGGACAAATGCTGGCTCCCTTGGCTTGAAAGCAAGATGAGCACCGCAACCCCGTGGTCACCTTTGACTGGACTTAACCATCCAGGGGTGCTTTACCTTTTTACTACTGCTACTACTGTTCTTACTTACACGCCACCAATCTGACTGGGTTGCTTGTGGGATGCTCTCCCTGAAGAGGCCCACCTGGGGCCTTTCACATGGGTGGCTATACCTTTTTGCGTTCAAGCGAAGAGCATCGTGTGAATGCAACAGCAACAACAAAAAATCCGTTCTATCCACCCCCCATGTTTCGTGACAGCCCCATGCTCTTGACTCGCTGTCGCTATTCCTGATATTATCATCCCCTTCCTCTCCTCTCCTCCATTATACCTAATTTGATGTTTGATGTTTGATCGTGTTTTAAATATTCTGTTCTGTTGAGAGCCAGCCAGAGTGGCTGCGGGAACCCAGCCAGATGGGCGGGGGTATAATAATAAAAATATTAACAACAACAACAACAACAATAATAATATTGTTCGTTTGTAACGGAAAATCATTCAAAAGCAAGAAAAATTTTTTTTTAAAGGAAGAGAACATTTCTAACGGCTACGAAGCCACACGCTTTTTGGGTCGTGGGGTTGCTTCGTTGTTTGGGGTTGAGCGCGTTCACACGACGGAGCCGCGCCAAAAGAGCCTCCTTTCCCTCGACAGCCGCCGTTTTTATATCGCGCGCTTCTTCTCCTCCTCACAGGTTTTCCCGCTCTTTTTCCCGCCCAGCGCCGGGAGCGCGCACGTGGGGCGGCGGGCGCGCTCTCGCGGCCCGGCCCCGCCGTCCCTTACCCGGCCGTCTCCTCCTCAGCTTCGGGGGGAGGCGACCCGCCTCAGCCACTGCGCCGCCGCCGCCCGCGACGGATAGAGGAGGACGGAGGGGGCAGCGATGGTAGGTGGCCCGGGCCCGGGCTCGGCTTCTCCCTCCGTCGCCCTGCAGGCCCTCCCTCGGGAAGGCCCCGGTGCGGCGGGAAGAGAGGCCCGGCCCTGGCCGTCGAGGAATGGCGGGTCTGGGGCGGCGGGTGGGGGGGAGGCTGGCTTAGCAGCGGGGCAAGCGAGAGGCGCCGGGTCTTACCTCGGGTGGGGGCTGGGATGAGACGGGCCGGGCCTTCCGCAGTTCGGGTGCGATGGGGATATCCCTTCCTTGGCACTTATTATTATTCTCTCCCACCCCCGCCCTCCTTGCTGTACTGCTTCTTTTTTAAAGGTTTTGGCCTAGTTTTTCCTCCTAAAGACCAATCCGACCGACCTCAGGCCGCAGGTGGGGATCCTGAGTGATGAGATAACTCTCTACTTCCCCCCCCCTCCTCCCTCTCTGCAATCCTGGGGATGCCTGCTCAGAAGCAAGTCCCATTCAGTTCCGTGGGACTTCCTCCCCCCGGGGAAAAAAGATTGCAGCCATACACACACAATTTCTTGCAAGTAGGAAGCCAAGGCCCGTTGCATTCAGTGGGACTTCCTGGGCAAGTATGCGTAGGATTTGCAGACACACACATGCAATTTATTGCAAGTAGAAAGCTGGGGTTGTCTGCTCAGAAGCAAGCTCCGTTCAGTTCAGTGGGACTTCCTCCCCCAGGCATATACGATTGCAGCTGTGCACACACAATTTCCTGCAAGTAGGAAGCCAAGTCCCATTGTATTCAGTGGGACTTTGTGGGCAAGTATGCATAAGATTTGCGGACACGCACACGCGCACACACAATTTCTTACAAGCAGAAAGCTATATCGGGGAGAAGGCTAGATTACAACCTTCCCATTCCTATCTACTCATTGAAAATGAGTGTTTTAGTTTGAACCCAAACTTTTTTGTTTGCAGGGATTTTTGTTCTCTTGCCTGGAGGAAGGTTTTTGCCAGTTAAGACTTGGACCAATGAGAGATCGGTCACTGTGTGTGCAGCTAGTCCTACAAAGGCAAAGCCTGCAGCTTTCTCCTTGACATGCTACTTAATAATAATAATACTTAACATTAAGGGATTTATATGCATATGTTGTCAAATGTACTATAACTTCAGAAGCGATGATTTACCACTGGTAGGAACTTACGAAGTTGCCTTGTAAGACATTTAACCATTGGCCCATCTAACTTTTGTATATGCTGACTGGCAGCAGCTCTGCAGGGAGGTACTGGGGGTTGGCACTGCAGAAACCCCTGCAGCACTCACTAGCTGCCATTGAGAAGTAGCAGCCTTCTGGGAGTGGAAGGCGGATCATCTTTGGAGATTTGGGCTCCCTCCTGTGTGCGGTGGCATTTAAAGTAGAGACAGCGATGACAGCACTTCCTTTGCAAAGCAGGTGGGCATGTGGCAGGTCAAAGCAGGAGCCATCTCTGCTTGTCTGCTTCCTTTTCCCGCATCGTCTCCCTCTGGAGTGCTGGGGATTGGGCCCAGGACAGCCCCTTTGCCTTAGAGGCAGGGGAGCAGAGGTACCTGCTGCTCACAGGGAGCAATGGTAACAGGGAGCTTGCCATGTCCCCTTGTGCCATGTGGTGTATTGGGCTTTGTTTTCCACAGGCATCTGGTTGGCCACTGTGAAAACAGGATGCTAGACTAGATGGACCATTGGCTTGGTCCAGCAGGGCTCTGTTTATGTTCTTAGGGTCACTTCTGCCTCTCAGTTGCTTTCTGTTGCTCCTGAAGGAGCGTTTCCACCCCCGTTGTTCTGCCTGGACACTGAGGTCAAGCGCTGAGGGCCTTCTAGCGATTACCTCACCGTGAGAAGTGATGTTACAGGGAACCAGGCAGAGGGCCTTCTCGGTAGTGGCGCCTGCCCTGTGGAACATCCCATTAGATGTCAAGGAAATACACAACTATCTGACTTTTAGAAGACATCTGAAGGCAGCCCTGTTTAGGGAAGTTTTAATGATTGACATTTTATTCTATTTTTAGTGTTCTGATGGGCGGGGTATAAATAATAAAATTATTGTTATTATTCTGTTTCTGACTGGCACAACACAACTAGGCACATTGCTGTGATGGCAGCAGCTACAGTCATACCTCGGGTTAAAGTAGCTTTGGGCTGAGAGTTTTCGGGTTGTGCTCTGTGGCGACCTGAAGTAATGGGACATGTTACTTCCGCGTTTCGCCGCATGCGCAGATGCTCAAAATGACATCATGCGCAGACGTGGCGAATCGTGACCTGCGCACGCGCAGACGCAGGTTGCGTTCACTTCAGGATGCAAACGGGGCTCCGGAACGGATCCCGTCGCATCCAGAGGTACCACTGTATTGCCTCTGCTGCTTTGTCAGCTGTTTCCATACATTGGCTATCTTCTCCTGGTTGATGTGGGAGATAATCCCAAGGACTTTATCACCCAGAGATAGAAAGTGAACAAGGGCAGTGGCTTCTTCACTCCTGAGTTGCCCACTAAGGCATGTAAGCAGCATAGGGAGTTCAAAGAGAAGGTGCAATTGCAGTTTCTGCCCATTTGCTCTTTGCTTCTGGGTGGAGAAGACCTACCGGTAAGTCCACGATGCACAGACCTAACTGCTGTACCTCCTAAAGAGAGAGAGCAGAGGTGACAGCTTCTGCTTCCTGCAACTGCCTCTGTTGTTTATTCAGGTGAGCAAACAGTGGTGGCAGCTGTTGCCTTTAAATGCTTTGCGTCTCCCTCTGGGCAGTGTGGCAGGGATGTTTTCCCTCTGGGGAAAGGTGGAGGGGGCCCTGAGCATTTTTGCAGAGAACCCACTTTCCCAGATTGGAATAGGCCGTGTCCCACTACTGAGAAGCAGTATATCTTTTTATGGTGGAGGATATTGTGTTTTCAATGCTGCCTCAAAATCTTGGGATGGTTGGTACAGTGCTAGTCACTAGGGCAGTAAACATGAAAGGAATGTGGTGCAGTTTTCCAATTTAAGTAACTTGCAGTGCAATCCTACCTCTGTCTACTTGGAAGCAAGTACCATTGCATTTAGTGGGGCTAAATCCAAAGTAAGTGGGTATTGGATTGCATCTTTATTATGAGTGCCTTTCTTTTCCCCAGAGGGGGTTACAGCATAACCTTGCATATTGGTGGGTTTCTTTTGTTGGGGTATCCTACGGCTTTTGTGTGCGTGCATGCATTTATATCTCAGGGAAGTGTTTGAAAGAGCAGGAAATAATCAGATAGTCAGCCACATTAGAGAACCCTCCCTCCTCCAGTCTTGAGCCTGGTGTTAGAAATCTGAAATCTAGGTATCTGGTTGGCCCTTGGGTACTCATGTCTATAGGAAGCAGCTTGGCTTGGCAAATCCAAGACACCTTGAGAAACTTCCAGCATCTTTTATTCCTCCACCAGCATGTTTTCCCATCAGTTGTAAGAGACACATGGATTGAATTCATGCACTGGCATGTTTATGGTTCTTAAAGTAGGATTCTAAAGATTTATGCTACATTATTATTATTTATGTTGATAATAAAGAATAATGCAGAAGTAGTGTGTATGTAGCAGCCAAAAGAACTTAACAAGGCCTTGACTAAATACGTATTTATTGTTCTGCCAGTCATGTCACCACTTCCTTGTAGGTCCCACCAGTGATTAAACTGCGCACACTGCTCTCTGCTTGTCATATAGATTGTATTAATAAATAGTTTGTTTCTTACTCCCAGAGAGCTGTCTCTTACTGGTGTGTGTGGGGACTATTCATTTGGAAACAGAGGGTGTTAAGAAAACCAAACACATTGTTCCTTGCTAAGCCATGAATATGGAGTACACACTTTTAAAATGGAAAGAGGTAGGCAAAGAATTGCAGTAAAAATATTGGCTCATAAAGGAATTAATAGGCAGATTATGACTAAAATATTAAAAAATTCAATAATAGATCTATATTTTACAAATCTAGTTTTTTAAATGAAAATTCTGCTTGATATTCATCGTGCCTTGAGAGCATTCAGTCAGAACAAAACATCCACAAATGGGGAAGATTTATGCAAATTGGAATCTTGCTAATTTCCTGAAATTATGAAGTTAATATGAAGCAAAGGCTTTCACCTGCATGTTAAAGGAGTCCAACTGGCACATTTGCATCGCTCGTGGCATTTTAAAGCTAGGTCTGTGGTGGCTGGTAAAATTGAAAAGCAACTTACAATGAACTAGGGCAGTATTTAATCTCTTTGCATCCAAAAGATTTATTTAATTAGTGGATGTTCACATATTCAAACTTAGGAACATAAGAAAAGCCCTGCTAGATGAAACCAAAGGTGCATCTAGGCCAGAATCCTGTCCCCACAGTGGTGAATGAGATGCCCCTGGGAAGCCCATAAGCAAGACATGAGTGCAAGGGCACTCTCCCTACTTTCAGTTCCCAGCAAGTGATAGTCAGTGGTTTGGGACACGGGTGGCGCTGTGGTCTAAACCACTGAGCCACTTGGGCTTGCCGATCAGAAGGTCGGCGGTTCGAATCCCCGTGGCGGGGTGAGCTCCTGTTGCTCTGTCCCAGCTCCTGCAACCTAGCAGTTGGAAAGCACACCGGTGCTAGTAGATAAATAGGTACCGCTGTGGCGGGAAGATAAACAGTGTTTCTGTGCGCTCTGGTTTCCATCACAGTGTTCCGTTGCGCCAGAAACGGTTTAGTCATGCTGCCCACATGACCCAGAAAGCTGTCTGTGGACAAACACCGACTCCCTTGGCTTGAAAGCGAGATGAGCACCGCAACCCCATGGTCGCCTTTGAGTGGATGTAACCGTCCAGAGGTCCTATCCCTTTTTACCTTACCTTATTCAGAGGCATAGTACCTCAGATACCATACACAGCCATCATGATTAGTAGTTATCTGTCCTCATACTTCCAGCAGCTTTGTTGGCTAACTCCTGGCTCTAATGTTATGAGAGGAGGAGAAAATTGATAGTAATTTTATTTTCTGTGACAAAGTGGATGGGACATCCTGCAAAATTTTATACACCCCTATCATGCCATGCCCCAGCAGTACACATTTCCCCCCAAAACTAAGTAAGCCCCAAATGTTTTAAACTTTTTTTGTTGAGAGGTTGCTCCACCCCTTTGATCATTTTGATCGCCTGTTTCTGAACCTTTCCCAGGCTTATCGCAGAAATCAAAGGGTACAGCTATAGACCTAAAACAGCATTGCAAGTTATGTTCCTTGCATCTGGCAGAACACTGTTCTGTGTTGCTAACAGTTTACATTGTTTTCTTCTTCCAGTTGTTCCCTGCTTCCAGATTCTATGTAATCAATTTAGTTCTGAACTCTTGGGCTGTTTTTTTGTAATTACCAGGGTGTGGTTTATTTTCTGTCATTGACATAACCCCACTCCTTGCTTGTATAAGAGTTCAAAGTATAAACTAGGGTTATAAACTGGTCGGTTAAATTCATTTAAATATTTATATGATACCAAGCCTTAATTTCTTCTGGGGAGCAACAGTGGGAGAGTGCTGTTCCAGGGTGTAGGTGCTGCCACACTAAAATACCTTACAGCTGCAGAACGTGTATGATGCGAGACCTGTAACAGTGCCAGCTCCACAGCAAGTTATTAGCCATTGCTCAAAGAAATACTGTGTTTAAATGTTTCTTCACCCGACAGAAGAATTTAGATATTTAGGGTTGTTCAGGGTTTCACTTGAGAACGTGAATGTTCACACATGCAAGCCCTGCCCTCAATGTTCCCAGATGTGTGGACTCCTGTTTAGACCTTTGTGTGATTAGAAGGGGAATTTAAAGTGCATTTTGCTATAAACCCACTTAGGAAACTCCCCTTGATTTGGAGCCCTTTCTTACCATGGTTCCTGGTAGCAGGGAGGTATCAGCAGAGTGCAGTTCAAAACTTCCTTCAAACCTTTGTGGTAGTTGCACCAAGATCTGAAAAGGAGCCAGCATGCCCAGTGACACTAGGGATGAGGCTAGAATGTGAATCCTGCTCGCATCCATGGTTTCAGTGTTTGCATATTTGCAAGGATGCTTGAACACACCTGAGTAAAACCTTAAAATGTCTCAAAACTGTCTCAGTATTGTAGGAAGATCCATATTTGAAAGTAGTGGCATGAACTTTGGTTTGCAACTGCCTGCTTTGGCAAACTGGCTATTGCTGTTAGAAGGGAATCTTAGTTTTAGTAGGTTGGTGGATTTACTGCAAAAGATACATTATGTGCGAGATCCCCCCCCCCCCCCCAAATCCAAGGGCTGTTAGTTTAAGTGAACTGTAGATCAGGCAGACCTGAAAATGATAAAGGGAAGAGTTATCTGAAAAAAGAATAACCAGCTACCCTGCATATTCACACAGGAAATATTTTTAATCTGTATCTATCTAGGCCTGGTTGTATTTCCCAGACATTCAAGAAGACAAGTGATAGCATAGCAGTTTGAAAAATATAAAGTGAGTAGCCCTTTGCTTCTTATAAGCTTAATAACAGTAATGGCTTCCACAAGAAACAGTTGTAGATCATGAGAAGACAAGCTTCCAAATGGATAGGGACATTCTGATGAATCACATCTGAAGTTGCTCCTTAAAATTAATAAGTTCCTTTATTTATTTAAAGCAATATCTACCAAACTTTTCTGCTTATATAAAATCATGAAAAACAAGACATTCCCCACCTGTACGCTTACAGTCTAAAAGACACAACACAAAACAAAAAGGGGATAAGGAGGGAAGAGGAAACTAACCAAACTCAGGCACCAATTTTTAAATTACAGAGTTCTAATAATGACTCAGTGGTACGAAAATAGCAAGAGGTGAAGCCAAATAGAACCAGTGGGGATACCCTGCTTTCCACCATGTTGACATGATGGGTGGCTGCTGCTAGGTTCCGTTGTTGTCAGCCCCACCAATTAATCAAAGAGCACGTTATACCCTGCAATTAAAGATTTAATGGAGTCAGTCATTAATACCACAAGATTATGTCTATTAAATCAATATAGGGCAGACGAGTAGCATTTGTGCCAAATCAACATTAATCTGCAACTTAAGCATAGTGCGGGCAAAACTTGTAGCATAGTCTTAAGTGTATCTACTGTCATTAAACCCCACAGGGTTCAAAGGGGTTTACTTCTTAGTGAATAAATATGTCCTCTTCTCTCCCACAACAGAGTTTGGCTGTTACATGCATTTGGGATTCATCTTAAAATGGCAGTGGAATATTGTCTTAAGTGGTAACAAGAATAATGGGAGGAACTGTGTACTATAGTCTGATGATGACACCATTTTGTAGATATTCGTTATTTTCTCCAAGTGAATTTCATGACCAAGTGTGAATTTGAACCCAGGTTCTCCATCCTAAATCTAACCCTAGCTCACAGGATTACATTTTAGGTGCTTTGTAGCCACCTTGACTTCACTGTTGAATTTGTTGATAGTTTGCTTTGACTTGAGGTTTGGATTTATAGGTAAATATTGAGAACATGGTGATCAGTGCTTAATGTTTCCATTCAGGTTTAGCGTTCCTATATGGTATGTGAATACTGTTCAGTCTTTCTGTTGACAACATCTTCTAATGAAGTATATGGGAATGAATACATTCACTGAGGATGTTAAGTAGTGCAAGGTTGTATGATTTGGAAAATTACAATTCCATTGTTGTTTGACTAAATGAAACAGATGGCTATTTCTTTTTTAAAGTACTTAATGAAAATAACCATTATAGAGTTATATAGGGCTAAACCTGCACTTCTCTGTATTTGTTTCCGAGATTAATCATGGTGTTTTCCCCTTAATTGTATTGTCAAGAAGCAAATTATGCATAGCTAGCACTCTAAACGTTTCTTGGTAATTTTGTCAAATGCACAGTGGGAAAATAAGTATTGCCGTACTGGTAAAATCATACAGCGTAGCAGGGAAACTTAAAATATTATTCCATTCCATTTAAAGCTGTCTGGTGGAACAAAATGACTGTACACTAATTAGTCTTATATGCAATTTCAGTCCTGAAGGGTTCCATCTTTGTGACACTTTAGTTTTTCCAACTGTGACGTGGGTATTCCTATAGGAGGTCACTGTTGCTAGGGAAGGCCTGAACATACAGGAAAGGAAGGAAGCAGAATGAGGATCAAATTAAAAAAAGAACAGTGATGCCTAAGAGGAAGTCAATCTGAACAGAGGGAACCAAATGCTACCGCACACAAATGGCTTATTTAGAGTTATTTTGTGGTTGGGGGCAGAATTCCCTAGACAGTTAAACTGAGAAAGACTTTCTACCTAAGGAATCCCAGAAAGCTCCTGGCAATCATATACTGGGCTTATAGCAGTATGGGCTTTCCTGTAAAAAAAAGAAGCAGAAACGGTGATTTCCCCCCTTTGCCCTTATCAGTGGAGATCTCCTTTAGCATGTTTGCCTTAAGAGTTAGTAAACAAATTACATATGCTGTATGAATAACTGGGACAAAAATACAGTAGTCCAGATTAGTTGAACTGAAATATTTGAAAAGGGAAAAAAATTAAGTGCACTTTTCATTCAAAACATATATTCAAGCATATTCAAAGCTTTACTAGAAAATTATTGTATTGGAATACTTGTAAATATTTTAAGACATGACAACCCTTACTATATCTATATCTGTAGCTATATCTATCTTTATATTTATAGATAGATATAACAGTTTAATAACACATAATTACACGTTTCTGGATTGAACAAAACCATCCACTGATGCATCACCCTCGCTTGTGCTAAGAAAATCTAGCTAAGACTGCCTACCCATATAAGGCTAAGAAAAATATTTTATGGGCTAGATATTTTGTTTATATTGTGATCCTCAGATGAAGGGTGATACAGAAATAAAATAAATAATAAATATGGAACATGGTCTGTGTGAGTGGAACTGTAGCTAAAAGCCATTTGGCTGTGCTTTTAGTTGTCATTTTTATCAGAAATCCATTCTCTGCAAGCCTTTGACTCTCCAAACCATGTATTTTGCCCTCCAAGGAATAGTACCAGATCCTTTTTGAATCCATCTTAAATTAACTCTCTCTTTGGCTTGAAGTTAATTGAAGTCTCTCCTCTCCCCAAACCAAACCAAACCAAACCCATGTAAGGTCTTAAACGGGGCATCGCCAAAACCAGTGAATTCTTTCTAGTGTTAAGTTTCCTTCCTCTCTCCCATAATCAGATTTAGTATTTGATGCAGTAATTCTTTTAGCAGCTCAGGGGTGTTGCCAGAAATTTAGAACTTTGAACTTAGGCCCAACCTACTTAAAATGCATACACCCCTGTAATACAAAGCTCTCTTCCTAAAATTGCAAGGATGGGGAGCATTCAGCACGTGCTCCTGCACCAGCAGGATGTAAGATTTGAATTATAGTAGTATGACACAGCACTGTTCGCGTTGTACATAAGGCACTGCTGAGTAATGGTAATGTTTTCAGGGCAACTCTGGCAACGGAGTGGGACTGCTTATCCATCGCTAATCTGTGTGGCATTTTGGCTTCCATGGTGCACCTCCAAAGGGCTCCAGCCTTTTGGAGACCAAGGGCACATTTGCAAACCAGAAAAACGGATGTGGCCACCACACTGACACAGCTAGCGCAGTTACACATGCACTGCCGTCACACACTCTCCCCTCTGTCAGCAGTTTGGCTTGAAAAGTGTTAGCTCTCCATTCCCAGGTGTAACACACACACACACACACACACACACACACACACACACACCCTACACACATGAAATCGCTCCCTGCATTGCAGGAAGGTGTCAAAGAAGCCTGCTATTGGCTACAATAAAAATGTTTGTTTCAAGCTTAATTCTGTGGGAGGTGGAACAGAGAAAGGACTGGGATCTTGCAAGTGCAGGCACCATGTTCGTAATGCATGCGCTAGGCAGCTCAAGACTGTAGGCTAAATATTTGCAGGCAACTTTTTATCACGTAATTACAGCTAGTAGGTAGGATGGCAGATAGGATATGGTGCAACTTGTACAGCTTCTTCTGTGTCTGGAATTTATACCCCACTGTAGTTGTGCACCTCTGTAGGACGATTGCATGCTATCACATTCAGATTATTCTATTATCAGGCACCTTTTTGCATCATTGACCTGTTTTCAGAAGCGCTCACGTTTAAGCAGAAGCAAACTGGCAACTCTTGAGAAGCAGGCTTCTAGAAAGAGGGGTTAGTTTTGAAACCTGTTTGACGTTTTGCTTCTGGTACCCCAAAGTGATGGCTTTTTAAGTTCTAATTTTTTCTGTGATGCTGATGGTGTATTAGGAACAACATGTTTTGAAAGTGAGATGCCAGCTTGGTACTGTACCACTCAGTGAACCCTTATTTCAAAAATTTGCCCACACAGCCTTGTGTCGAGAGAGGAATGCTCTAGCCCAGGAGGAGCAGAAGGTGGATTTGGGGTCTTCTGGTAGATCTCTAGAAGGTCTGCAGTGGATGAGTGTGGGTTTCTGACCTTTAGTGGTCAACAATAGCAAATAATTAATGTCTTAGAAATAATTCACTAGGGTTGCTGAAATTAAGAATGCTTTTGTGGAAGAATCTGTATAAGTGTTTTTTGTGCAAAAGAACTGTAAGCTCAGTTTTTATAATGGGGGGGGGGACCTTCAGCAAATATGCTCAGAGGCACGCTCTTCCTTAATTCTCAGTGTTTGCCAGCCCCTCCAAATCATTTTTTCCCTTTCTCCTAGCTCTGGGTGGTGCACCCTTTGGGTACAGTGCAAAGTGCTTACAATACCCCTCCCTACTCACCCAACTCACTCTGCTTTGAGGGAGGGGAGCTGTACATGTACTAATACAGGAAGCAGAGTTGGATCCAAGCTCTAAAGGAAGGGGTGAGCTGCACCTTTATGCCAGGGAGGGGGCTAACACCAGATCCTGTACTTACAACACATCCAATTGGTGGGATGCATTAAGCAACATGCCAACACATAGTAAACCATAATTACTTTAGTTTAGACCCTTTCAAATGCAAGAAGTCTGTCTCTTTAAACAATTTAAATTTATGTCTAATTTGATATTGTATATTTCTTGTACACATATGGAGGTTTTGCTGTGACTGTGCAATCACCAGTGGTGTAATTTGGCCTAATTAGCCTTTGCTTAGTGATTTGGGATGTCTATCAAGGACTGTTATGTTCTCAGGAAACGTAGTGAGTTAAAAGCTAATGCAGTGACCTCATCTCTATTCATTAAGCTCCAGAGTATAAACTGCACTGGAGAGCGACTGTTAAACCGTATCAGTCCATTTTTATGCTGCAAGTTAATCTGCTTTAATTTGGATACTAAATTTATTCAATTTAACATTTGCAGTTATAACGGGAAATAATTTACAGGAAAAAATGCAGTATATTGTTCACTTCCCTTTTTGCCTTGCTTGCAAACGTTTCTCGGGATTTTGTTGTTGGTGGTGAGGCACAATCATTTTTATTTTCTTGGGTTCTTTAAAATGATGTTCCTGTTTGAAAATTGGTATGGCTTCAAGGGGAAATTATTAGCCAAGGACCAATAGAAAACACACACATTTGTATCATTTACTTTGTGCGAATGGTTTGCCTTTCTACTTAAACCGATCATTAAATGAGAGTGCAGCCACCGGCTCTTTAATATTAGAGCTATATGCACACTGTGTCGCTGTGCTGCTGGTCCAATCGCTCTTTGTGACTTCAGCTATTGGCTCAGAACGCTGCTTGTCTGACTCCATCTGCAGGGCTCTAACACCTCCTGCACTCAGATCCATTCAACACACAACTCGCGCCAGCTGACAAGCAAGCAGCAGCAGCAGCAGCATATCTTGCTCTCCTACTTTGTTTTGCCACACAACAAAGCTCTCTCGCAAGCAAATGAAGCTGGGAGTCATGATGGGGAGGAGTTTGACAGATCAAGTACTGGATCAAACTTAAAAAGCTAATATCTTAATTCAGCATACTGGAAAAAAGGTCACCTTGCCTTGCTGGAAAAAGAAGCACACAATCTCAGCCTTGCAGCTCTGTGTTCGGTACCTTCTGCTTTCCTCTGTTCTACGTAGTTAGGCTATCTGATTACACAGACGAGGATACTCATGGTAGATGACAAGGGAAAGAACATGAAATGTCTCACCTTCTTCTTGATGCTTCCAGAGACAGTTAAGAACAGGTCCAAGAAAAGCTCCAAGAAGGCAAGCAGTAGCAGTGGTGGCAGCAGCAGCAAGTTACCTCCAGTTTGCTATGAAATCATTACCTTGAAGACTAAAAAGAAGAAGAAGATGGCTGCTGATATTTTCCCCCGAAAGAAGCCGGCGAACAGTAACACCACTGCTGTCCAGCAATACCACCAGCAAAACATCAATAACAACAACATCATCCCAGCTCCAAACTGGCAAGGACTGTACCCCACCATCCGAGAAAGGTAAGCAAGTTGGGAAATGGTTTCTTAATTGTGCTTTTCAGTTCAGTGGCAGTCTGTAGTGAGATGTGTGCCCTCTTTTCGAACAGCATGCCTTCCCGTTAGGCAGTGCTCAAAGAAGGGGAAATGCTTTTACTTTCCCCTTGTGCAGTTGTTATTTTTTCTCCTGATAATGAAGAATATTTTTGCATGCAAGCTGCCATGATTTAACCTCTTAGGCATTCTTCTCTCATGAAGGCACATTCACGCCATATTAATCTTCATATTTGATCACACAGTTTAGCATTTTTACTTTTACAAAAGTTCTTGCTAAGTTTTTCTTGCAGTGTCATACTTTTTTAATTATTAAAAAATGGCCAGAGCTTGGTTCATTTAATGATTATTAAAGTCATTTAAAATTTGTTCTGCTTTTTTCAAAAAGGACTGTTTTCTTTCTCTCTTTGTGTTTGTGTGTTTTCTTGGTTGCTCTTGAAAGATTGTAACATTTTAAGGAGCTGAATTGCATGTATGGGATGCTGAAACCCTAAAATAACTTATTGCCTCTGTTTGTAGAAATGCAGTAATGTTCAACAATGACTTGATGGCAGATGTTCATTTTGTGGTTGGTCCACCAGGTGGGACCCAGCGGTTGCCAGGACACAAAGTAAGCAACAGCTGCATTACTAGATCTGACATGGGAAAAGCAAGGGGAACATCAACCGTTGCCATTGTAACTTAGTGTGGGAGGCTTGGGTACTGGAACTGACATAATTATGGAAGCTTTTAAGCATCTTTGCCTGGTGAAATGCTTTAGCAGTTTCCCCTCCAGTTAAATATCTTTGCTACTGTAATACAAGGTTGGGAAAATCTGTGTCTGTTTCTAGACCAGAGTTCCCAGCCATGCTAGCCGTTGGGCATGGGAGTTGTAGTTCAACATGTTCCTCAACTGTGCAGTACAATATTACCCCCTCCAAAATCTTGTTTTACTGATTTATGACATTATTATCCTATCCTTCCACCAATCTGCCCTCCTTTTAAAAACTCACAACAACCCTGTGAAGTAGGTTATGCTGAGACGGCGGCTGGTCCAAAGTCACCCCATAAGTGGAAATTTGATCTCAGGCCTCCACATATAACATTCTGAAACACTGCAACACACTGCCTCCCAGTGGGGATAGCAATGTATTAGAATAGCAGTCTGTTCAGGGATGTGGATGGGGTTTCTCCAGGATTCCCTTAGTGAGTTTTGCTTTAAAAATTTAGAGTGCAAAGTGAAGCCATGCCATGCTCTCTCATTACTGTTGATTGCCTTCATGGCTTCATTCTTAATGCTCACTGTGGCGCTGCCACATTTCTGCTTTTCTGTTGGTGATGAATTTTGTTCTAAAGCATGAAATAATATTTCCCTTTTTGAACAGTATGTCTTAGCTGTTGGAAGCTCTGTATTCCATGCAATGTTTTATGGAGAGCTTGCTGAGGACAAAGATGAAATCCGTATACCAGATGTGGAGCCTGCTGCTTTCCTCGCTATGCTGAAGTAAGCATCCTTCTTCATTGCTGGAAGTGAAATTGTTTGTACTTGATCTAGTAATGCCATAGTTAAAAAGTTAGGCATTGTCATAAAGAAAGAATTGATGTGCAAATGCACTCATTAGCTTATGGATACGGTGTCTGTAGTTGTGTGTTAATTATAGGACTTTTAAAAATGAATATTTTATTTATCCCTCCCTTCCTTCAGATGTCAAAGAGATAAAGAATTAAACAACTTTTAGAAGACATCTGAAGGCAGCTCTGTATCGGGAGGTTTTTAACGCTTCATGTTTTATGTTTTTAGATATGCTGTAAACCGCTCAGAGTGGCTGGGGAAACCCAGCCAGATGGGTGGGGTGTTGTTGTTGTTGTTGTTGTTTTATTAATAATAACCCCTCACTTCCCTTCCCCGCCTCCATCTCCTGCATATTTATTTAGTCAGCAGGTCACATTGGTCAAGCTGCTTTTTCATATACTTTATAAAGAATTGAATATAAAAAGGAAGAGCTTTAAAATAGGGTGAAAAGGAAAGATTCCAAACTACTAATATACTGTTGCCCGTTTTAGATGCAACACCAAGCCAAACCATGGCTTAGCACATCTGAGCAAGCATGCAAGTCTCCAGAGTGAAGATCACAGCCTCAACAATCCTATCTCAGTCTTGCTGCTGTCATGCTTCCTGGGGCTAAGCCATGGTTTGGCTTAGTCTTCCTTCCACGATCCAGGGTCATGGTTTGACTCACTTCAGAGATACAATGCATGGCAAAGCAAGAACAAACCTTGGTTGCAGCGGGTGGTTTGTCTGGTGCAAGGTGAACCATGGGACACAATCTTCACTCTGAGATCTCACACGTTTCCTCATTCCCAATAAACCATGATTTGGCTTAGCATTACAGGTGAACCAGGTCTGCATTTGTTTGTGCTACCCCTTTTTCTAACGACACAATTCCTTTTTATTCCTGATAAGCGCAGCTTCTGATGATACTGTAAACTTCTGAAATGCAGTCACTGATGATAATGTTTTCTTATAGGCAGGATGAATTTTCAAATGTTAAAAATAATATTTTCTTAAATGCTGTTTCTGCATTTTAAACTTGAACTGAGGAAAGGACATGCATTTGGGGGGGGGGTGATTTCTCCCTCCACCCAGCTTGTTTTTCTTGCATGACGAGTGGGAAGTAAGGAAGAGCAAGTTGCTTTCTAACAATGATTGCCCATTAACTCAGGATTTAATTTAGAATGTGTATTTGGAAACATCTAGCATTTCTTATTAAAAAATAATCGTTTTTCTTTGCGGCGTCTGTTACTGTTTTATATGTGTGCTTATATATTATAAAAATCCTTTCACTGTGCCATTGAATCCCCCTGCAAGCTTTGCCTGACCATGTAACTGCTAAATATTAGTTTCCCGTCTGGATTGCCTTGGCGATTGTGAAGGGCACTTTCTAACTTTTCCTTAGGGTGCTTTTGCTGCTTGTAGCTGTGGTTAGTCAGCACACGATTGTGTGAAGAGCTTCAAAGAAAGGAGATGACACGTACGAACCGCCAAGATGCAGTTGTGTCGTCATTTGTGGCTAGATCTGTCAAACTGCGAAGGTTGCAGTATTTAAATATAGGTGTTACGTCCTGATGCAAATGGGATGTTGTCAGGTGAATAGTATGATATGTTCAGGTTATAAATACCAGCAGTGCCTTAGGTAGATATGGGATCTTCGGTTGAATCTTACCGTGCCAGAAAAAAAGGATTTACTGCTTGATGCAGCTCTACAGTGGAAATAGTTTATATCTTCCTAAATGCAGGCACTAGGAGGCATACTCAAACAGAGCACAGTCTAATACAGGTTTAAGGGCACTTCACAACCTTTGATTTCAGTAGGCCTTTGATTTCAGTAGATACTTGTGTGTGTTCTGCTGTGCACTTAATTGTACTCTTGGTGTGCACAGTTCTGGAAACACGGATTTAAGAGTAAGACGAGTGGATTCATCCTAATGAAAACATGTTTAATACTCAACATTTACACTGAGCTGGACTCTCCCCTGTCAAAATAGGGTAGCAGCGGAAACATCACAATGGAAATACCATGTTTTCACTATCCATAGCTAAGGTTTGCCAGGAGAGAAGAAAGAAGGGAAGGGTGCAAACCAGGTCACTGGTGTCTCCATTCTTGATTTTTTCTTTTGGTGATAACCAGTTTATTACCTTTCTGCGGCAATTTTTTAAAAGCATCTCTAAAATTAGGAGCCAGACATTTTTGCAATTAAAGAAAAATATGGCTCTTAGAGTAGCCTTAGGTGTACTTTATTGTCCTAGTTCATGACCAAACTATACAAGATGTTTAACTCTTTCATCTCTTGATAACAGTCCTGAGGAAGGTGCCTCTTCGGAGGCTGGTATTTGTTTTGTAGGGTAAATTTCCAAAACCAGGGTGGAGGAGGGATTTTCCTCGGGACTGCAGCTGGGGAGATTTACCCCAAACTGCCTGGTGTTATTTGCAGTGTTGAAAACTGGCCCATTAAAGACACATTTAACCACATCTAGGCAAGGTACAGCAAAAGGTAAATCTGTAAAGTGGCTTAAAGCATATCTTACTGGTATTTGTAAGCTACTCTGTGAGACTGTTTTCTGTTGAAGAGTAGGATTAAAATTATTTTAATAGAAAAATTTAGGCCCCTGGTTTCTAATATGTTTACAGTATGTTAAAATATGTGGTGTTAAAACCTACTTGGTTTCTATATCTCATGTTTTGAATGCATAAAACCTCTACACCGGTGATGTGCACATTTGCTCTGAACATAAAAGGAAAATATGCATATTCCTTAAAGTATTAGTTACCATTTCTATGTATGGTAAGTGTCACTTAAACAGTCGGAGCTTTTGTCTGACAGTTGCTTTTAATCCACCAAAAATCCCCAAAGCAATTTCATTGTTATAATAAAAGTTTCATTTTAAAAAGACCACAGGTAAATTAGCCTGTTGCTACTGTTTATAATAGCTGTGCAAGTTAGATATTTAACATCCCTAAGTGCTGTCTTCTATGCTGTATTCTTTCTGACACTGAAAATCCCAAGGGCTAGAAGTACGTGTTAAAACATTGTGCATCCAAGAGAGATTATGGTTGCCTTGTAAATGAGCAGCTAGTGCCCCATAGGGAAAATCAAAAGAAGTAAATACAAATCTTTTAAACGAGCTTAAGTGAAATTGACACCAAAGCTTCACAAATATAGTTCAAAATATTCTGCCGCCACCCCCAGCAACAAATGGCTTTTAAACAATGTCATGACTACCTTCATCCTCCTTGCCTTGCCCCAGTGCCAGATCAAAACCAGTTTGTGCTACTTCCCTCCCTCCAAATAATTAACTTTGCTAGAAATTACTAGGTTTCCCATTGTGATCTGCAAGTCATACATATATGGCTGCTCTAAACTCTTCATCATGGTCAGGTTGAATGTTCAGCATGAATTGCATGCAGTATGCAAAACTGAAGCCAGATTGAAAGAGAAGTACCTTTGCCTTGTTCGTGTGCTCGAGTAATGCCTCCTTTTCTTCTTCTTCATTGTGCTTGGGAGCTGGAGGAGGATAGGCAGTATAAACTAAGGGTACTACTGGATGTGCATTTTTGGAGTATGCTGTGAGTTCACTTGGGAGACAGCCTATCAGCTTCTTAGGGGGGCTATCCCAATCTGAAAGAGTTTGGCTTCAAAACCCAGCTAGATCCCCAAACAATCTATTGCAGGCACACTACAATCTGCCCCATAATCTTATGTGGAATGGATTGTGGAAGATGTTCTCTGGAGTACTTTGATCACTTCCCTTGAGTGATCCGATTGCAATGTCAGTTGTCAGAAACAAGGAAAAGAAGACCTCTGTAGATGATAGGATGAGGGTGTCCATCTAGTTGACCACCATCCTTTCCAACAATGGTCGGTCCCTGGTGAAGCCCACAAGCAGCCCCTCCATTGTCTGCAGCTGGTATCCAGAGAGACACAGCCATTGAACCTGAATAATCAATTTAACTAGTCATAGTGAATAAGCATTTTAGAGAGAGCGATCTTCCATAAATATGTCTGCTCTTTTACTGGCTACCTAAGCCAATGGTAATTACCACACATTGTGTTGGCGAATTCAGTACATTTGTATATTCATTTTCGAACAGATTAGTTTTCAAACGTTTTGGCTCCCGAATGCTGCAAACCCGGAAGTGAGTGTTCTGGTTTGCAGACTATTTTTGGAAGCTGAACGTCCAACGGGGCTTCAGTGGCCAATCAGAGCCACGCTTTGGTTTCCAAACATTTTGGAAGTCGAACGGACTTCCAGAACAGATTCCTTTCGACTTCCAAGGTACGATTGTATTTTAATTGTATGTTCTGTGAAGAAGTGCTTTTTGTCTGTCATGAGCAGAGTTATTGACATTTTTTCCTGAAATACAAGTCCATTATATTTCACCACGCGCCAAATTAAATTGGTTGTCAACTTTACACTATAATGAGCTAAAGCTTAAGTTGATTGATTCATGGGGCTGCCAGTTAAGGGCACAGATGTTCATCAAGGCAACTTCCGTTGCAGTGCATTGCAGTGCTGTGGAATGAAAAAAGACCATATGAAACATTGCCTCCTGAGCATTTGCAGATTTTAGTCACCCATATTGAGGTTTTGATGAGCTTAAGAAAAGGTAGATGACAAATCAACAAATTAAGCATTTGTTGCAAATAATTCCTGAACAACTATATTAGCGTTTTATCATACATGTGTCTTTCACTACTAGTGTTCTTGAAAAACGTCCATCTGTTTTGTTAACAGTATTACATGCGTGTCTTTTATTGCAGATACATATATTGTGATGAAATTGACTTGGCTGCGGATACAGTTCTGGCAACTCTTTACGCTGCCAAGAAGTACATCGTTCCTCATCTTGCCCGTGCATGTGTTAACTTCCTAGAGACGAGTCTGAGTGCAAAAAACGCTTGTGTACTGCTCTCCCAGAGCTGCTTATTTGAGGAACCAGACCTGACTGAGCGCTGCTGGGAAGTGATTGATGCCCAGGCAGAGCTGGCTTTGAAATCAGAAGGGTTCTGTGACATTGATTTTCAAACACTCGAAAGCATCCTCCAGAGGGAGACCCTGAATGCCAAAGAAATTGTGGTTTTTGAAGCTGCTCTCAGTTGGGCCGAAGTAGAGTGTCAACGCCAAGAGCTACCTGCCAGCATAGAAAACAAGCGCAAAGTCCTTGGGAAGGCCCTCTATCTCATCCGCATCCCTACGATGGCGCTTGATGACTTTGCAAATGGTGCTGCTCAGTCCGGCATCCTGACCCTCAATGAAACAAACGATATCTTCCTTTGGTACACGGCTGCCAAAAAGCCAGAGCTGCAGTTTGTGAGCAATGCCCGGAAAGGCCTTGTCCCGCAACGCTGCCACCGCTTCCAGTCTTGTGCCTACCGCAGCAACCAGTGGCGCTACAGGGGCCGTTGTGACAGCATACAGTTTGCTGTTGACAAAAGAGTGTTCATTGCTGGCTTCGGGCTCTATGGCTCCAGCTGTGGATCGGCCGAATACAGTGCCAAGATTGAACTCAAACGGCAAGGCGTTATCCTAGGGCAAAACTTGAGCAAGTACTTCTCTGACGGATCTAGCAACACTTTCCCAGTGTGGTTTGAGTACCCCGTGCAGATTGAACCAGATACCTTTTACACAGCTAGTGTGATTCTGGATGGAAATGAACTCAGCTATTTTGGACAGGAAGGGATGACAGAAGTTCAGTGCGGCAAAGTAACTGTGCAGTTCCAGTGCTCTTCAGACAGTACCAATGGCACTGGGGTTCAGGGGGGGCAGATTCCAGAACTTATCTTTTATGCCTGAAAGAAGATGGGTTCCAGAACATGGAGAGTGCTGTTCTATGGTGTATATGTCTGGTCCAGACCTGTTTGATACTTACCTTGCTGTCTGCAGATATGTGATCAGTACAGGTAATATGTTCCTGAAATGCAGTGAACAGCTTAATGCTTGCTGTACTTTTGTAGCCTAAGTGTAAAATTCTTTTTACTGGGAGCTCCCAGGAACAAGCAAATGAGCAAATTATAAAAGTCAAGAGTTTCACAGCCTTACCACAGATGAGATGGCCTTTTTTTGTGAAAGAAAGGAAATAGATGTTCTTCTCCATGCTGTTTCCCACCTACCCTTTTAACTTGCTACTTTCTCCTGTTCTTTTGACTTATTTATTTTTGTTTGCTCCATGCCATAGGCTTTTCAAACATCTCACTGTTTGTTTTAATGGACACCCCCTCACACTTCCACTGGAGGCTGATTTGGCAGCAACACCACCAATTCACACAAAATCAGTTTTGCTAGAGAGACAAGTTTGGTCTTCCTGCATGTGCTAATCAGATGTTGGGAAGTTGTGTTAATTGAGATGGACCGCTGGGATGAACTGGTGCATTGAGAATGTCTACAAAGGAAAGTAAGTCTCCTCAAGGAGCAAAGTGGGTTATGCACAGTGGATTCCTACTTTCTTCAACACCATTCTCCCAAGCTTCTCCTGAGACACAAAACAACTCCTGCTTGTCCAGCTAGTGCATTGAAATGAATGGTGTTTTCACCATGGCAGTGCCTCAGTGACCCATTTCTTTTTAATAAAGCATTTCCTCATTTTAATAAAGCCTTTGTAGTCACCCTTTATGGGTCCAGTCCCTTTCCCACAATTTTCTGATCCATAGAAAAGGAGCAAATCCCTAGTGACTATTTTTTCTTTTTCCAAAGGCAGTTGAAAACTTTTTGGCATGATGTTACTTTTACCACCTTAGTAAAATAATAATAATAGCAATTTTTGTAGTATTATATTACTTTCAATTGCTATGGATAGTTCACAAATTGACTAACTTGACAGATAAATTGATAGAAGCAAGAAGCAAGTAGGTTTCAAAGACTTCTCCATTTCTGGGTCAGTATCCAAATAGTAGGTTGGACAAAATGCAGTTGTACTTAAATATTCACCCACATGTTTGCTTTTTAAAGATGCTCCAGATCTGTGATTTTTTTAAAAAAGATGCCCAGATTTCTTGGCTTTCAGAATCCCCCTAACTACGTACTGTGTCTGGGATCAGATAGTAACATGGCTAGCGTGGATGCTGTTTGTAGTTTTTCTTCTTAGAGCTGCTTTTTAGCACAGCTGTAAATGGTTGCTTTGAGTAGCATTCATTACCACACTGCATAGAACGCCTGTTAAGACGCATCTCTAAAACATGTATATGTTCATTTTATAGGAAGTTTTGATTTTTGTGTAATTGTAATGAAATTCGTAACTGCCAGCATTTTCTGAAAAGGGGACATTTGTGACTTAGATTTTCCCCATTTTAATTTGATCTTCATTCAGATCTGAAGTTCAGTTTTTCATTGACCAGAAGCATTTTTTTCCTCTCTTATTTTAAATTGGTTGTCAGGCTTCCTGTAGAACCATCTGTGTTCTTGGCAGGAAAGGGCTGCAGGCTGGGTGGTAGTAAAAATGAAAGGAAATAAGCATAACTGAATGATACAGAGCAATTTCATGTTCATGAAATAATGAAAGGCACATTTTCAAGTAGGCAACACTTGTCTATGCTTGAAAGTTGCTTACAGTGGTATTCCCAAGCTGATTTTCAATTCCCCTTGCTTTAAATTAAGGATATGATTTATTCAGTAACGTAAGCATGAATGCTTCCTGCTACATTGTTTAAGGTGGGAGTGTACCTCCCCAACACTAAATCTACACACTGATATAACTATATAAATGTTTCTCCCACCTCTCAACCCACCAATATGGTATATTATCTGTTCATGTGCTTGCTCTGAATATTTTAACCTGCTGGAATCATGGCTTCTAGTAGTCTTTTAAGTGCCATTAAGAATCTAAAATATGGTGGATTGGGCATGAGAAAATCCAGCCTTCAAATGCAGTGTTTTCTCAGATGTGTATAATATAAAGGAAAACACAGAGGCTATTCTTAAAGGGAAAATGTTATTATTGCCTTTTTAATTATTTCAAACGGTATGATGTAAAACAGAAGCATATAAATGCTCTCATGTTGTATTGGGGTTGCTTCCTGATCAGATGTACCTGATGTACATCAGATGTATCCTCAAGAACCATTGTGGCTGGCGCATTGGTCTTACACCCAGGGAGAACCAGGTAAAAGCCCTGCTCAGTCACAAAATTCCCCGGGTGCTCTTAGTCCAGTCTCTCAGCCTAACTTTCCTCACACTGATGCTGTGAGGATGAAATTGGTGGCAGGGCATCAAGGAAGGGCAGGATAAAAATGAGAATGAATAATTTGTGCATAATGTGCTAGGAGAGGGGGAGGGGCTCCTACAGATGCTTCCCCATGCTTTTTCATGAACCTCAAATAAGAGTCACAACGGAATTGCATGGTTTGAGCAAGTAGTGCTATTTCCCCTACTAGCAATCCTATAAAAGCCAGTTTCCAGACTAGGGTCATGTGGGGTTTTTGATGCCCTGTGCCCTCTTGGCCTCTAGATGGCATATGTACACTGCTGCTTTTACTTAATGCCCCACTGAAACAGATGGCTGTCAAGAGGTCCAGAATGGTATCCGAGTGTAGCACTTTATATTTCCCTTAATCGTGAATGTCTTGTCATTCACTTCCATGGGGGGAAGTAACTGGGTTTAGTTGGGTGTAGTGCTGGGGAGAAAGAGGGCTAGGTTAGGCGGCCCCTGATTTTGGAATGGAATGCATAGCTCAACCTCCCCTGAAAAGGGGCGTCTTTCTGTCCCCCTTCCCTTGTTTGTCAAAGCGACAGGTGCTTATTCAGTTTGAACCTGAAAGCAGAAGTGAGTATCATTTGCCTACCATTATGAGCAGTTCTTAAACCAGTTTGCAGTGGTAAATTGCAATCCTTTTTTGATGGTACATTTCGGTGCACCATCTCCTTTACTGTACAAGGGTAATGTCAATGAGGTGTGCTGTCAGATACAAAAAATGCATGTCTTAAACCAATATAAAAATTAAGCGATATATTGGTTTACTCTTAAGATAAGGGAGGCATAGCTTGCTGCATAAAAGTTAGCATGTGTCTTCTGCAACTGAGTCACTTAAGCTGATCAAGAGGCCTGGACCTTCCCCATGTGTTCCTTGAAAAAAGAGAGATGAGTTCAGAGTTTAAATAGTATTAAATTTGTCTTAGTACGGACAATATTTTAAAGCATATTTTGAAACTGATTTGCATTCAAGGCACATACTGCAGAGGTGTTTAAAAATTATCCCTGCAACCATGAGAGCTAAATACTTTCACAGCTTTCACGAAAGCACCCTTCCCTGCTTTTAGATTATACAGGAGAGAACTAAGTTATGCTTCCAACACAATTGGGTGTTTGTATTCTGCTTGGTGCACATTATTTTACGTGCCTCACAATGCACTCCTGTGCACGTCTACTCAGAAGTAAATCTCATTGAGTTCAGTGGGTCTTACTTCCAGATAAGCATGCACAGAATTACAGCTTTAGACAGTAGAATTTAAAGTGTGCATTGCACTACTTTCAGCAGTTTTCAGTTAAAATGCCTTTAAAATTACTATTAAACTTGGGCCACTTCTAGTATGAATTATTTTTATTGTCAGCATCTGTACCATGCCTTTCTAAGGCATATTCAATGCAGCTTGTAATCAAAATAAAAATAATGCACAACAAAAAGAACAAAAATATGAGGAAAATGGCAAAGCAATAAAAAGGACTAAAAACTATAGGATAATCTGGCAGGGGAAGGGTGAAAAATAAAGGTACGCTGCAAAAGCTTGCTGTAATAAAATTGCCTTTGCTGCTCGTCTAAAAGTGAGTAGCGATAGGGCCAGGAGCACCTCCTTGGGGAGGCAGCTCAAATGCATGGCTGAGAAAAGTATAAATGGGATCAAAATGAAAAGTCAGAATGCTAATATATTGATAAGGAGGGAACACACAAAGAATGGGGAAGTCCGCATTTTCCGAGTGCTGCAGAAGCTGAGTATTTCAGAGTTGGTTCTGTAGATAACACCAGAAAATTCAGCCAAATGAAATCTGCTACCTAAAGTGGCACTTTAACCAGGCAACTAGCAATTTTATGAAGGGGGTTTTTGTACCTTTCAGAATTGTCCACATTGATCTAGTTCCTGGTCAGTTGTTACTCTCCAGGGAGCAACCTGGTAAAGAGTCTTGCGCGTGCAAACCATCCCCAGATAGAAAGTAGTGTGTGGTACTTCATTTGGTTGAATGCAAGATCTCCGTGGTGTTGTATTCAAAGTAGAACTAAGGCTGTTGTTCCATCAGCACAAACCTTTCTGCTTGCTTGACAGAGCTATCTCCCCTTCCTCAGCATGCCATTCTGAGGATTCTCCCAAACCCCTGGAGAAGATTTGGGGAGAGCACATTGGAAAGTCCCAATGCGCTAGCAGAAATCATGGTCCTAAGGCTTCTGGTTACTTTCTTGAATGGGGCAGGGGGTTAGAGCACAGTAGATTGCATACAAGAGCCTCTAGGTTCAATCTCCAGCATCAGAAATGCACACACATACCATCTGAAACTAAAGCTGCTGCCAGTCCATGTATACTATTAAGCTAGATGCACCAGTGGTCTGACTCTGTAGAAGACAGCTTCCTGTGGATAAGGAAACCTACGGAATTGAGTCCCCCCCCCCCCCACTGCTGATTAACAAAAGTGCTTTTTGCCTGAGGACCTACGTCACTTTTAGAACGAATAGAAGAGAATGCCCAATGAAGTATGCCAAATAAAAAAACAATTACAGGGTCGTCATTCAGCATCTCTGAAATGCACAAATGGCTGTGTGTGGACTTTGCTGTTCTCTTACATGAACAAGGGTATGCAGTGAGGAATCTCTGTACATGCACAGAGGCACATCTCTGTGGATACAAGGTCCTTGCATGCAGGGGGACTATGCATTAGTCTCTTAAATGCATAAAGTGCCCCACAACTGCTGCTATCTGTTAACATTAACACTAATTATATTATTGGCATTCATATTTTAATAGTGCTATTTAAAAGTATCTGCTGGTGATCATACCACCACTATCAATGAAAGGCTTTGCCCAAATGGCATTGAGTCAATCCTGTTTTCTGTATCTACCCATGTTAGGTTGGATTCATTCTAATCAATGTATGTTGCCTTAAATGGTTTGTGGATTGAATTATAAGGCTGCCAGCATCAATCGACTGGAAGCAGGGGATGTCCGTAGAATTGTTTCCAAATGAGAGCTTTGTACCCTTAAATAGAAAGTCAATATCCTAAATGTATGAATTCCTGTATATTTTGGTTTATTCTTCTAAAGCACCAAACATATTTATCTGGAACAGAACAGAGCCTGAGATGTGAGAAAATATTATAGATGCTGTTTAAATTACGCCTAACATCTTGTTGCATGGCGAGCTGGAAGGGGGAAGGGAAGCTGTTAACTGGATTTGTGGTGTAATATACTTTAAGCATATCTGACATAGTATTTAAGTAAATGTTCTAATTTCTACAGTACTTATTGCACTGATTTTTTTAAATGTTAAAACTCCGTTATTTCAAAGACAACTGCGTCTAGTTGTGCTTGGAGCAGTGCTTGACTATAGCAACTGATGGCATTATTTATGAAGGACAGATATATATATAAATATGAAGTACCTCAAGTTGAATGTTATCGTACTGTATCTTTAATGTAACAGTGCAGAATTTTAGTAGACACATGAATGTGTATAATCACATTTAAAAGGCAAATAAAAATTGAACTGGTTCTTACACTGTTTCCTGGTGTGCTTCTGAAACCTTAATAAATTTGCAGTATTACTTGCTGGACTTTGGGCATCAGAAAGGCTTGATGTACCTTATAAGTTCCACCTTGAGGAAGAACAACAAATGGGTTGATCACTATTTTGTTAAAATGCTAAAACCGAAGCAAAGGAGATAGGAAGGAGTCGTGGGTTCGAACTCTTGAGAAATGTAAATACTACAAAAGGTGGAATTCAATTGGGCAAGATCCAACTTGAGTTGGGCCAATTTGGTTGGGAGCTGTACCTCAGTGGGAAGAACATGGGAAAGGTCCCAGGTTCACTTTTCTGTAGGTAGGGCTGGGAGAGAACCCTGTCCGAAACCCTGGAGAGCTTCTGCCAGTCAATGAAGACAATACTGAGATAGATGGACCAATGGGCTGATTCAGTATAAGGCAGCCCCCTAGGTTCTGGTGCGTACTGCAGCCCATGAACAGAAAGCTCTTCTACATGGGTTGGTGGGTGGACAATGATATTTTATCACCTCCAACCCCAGTGACAGTCCTACAAGTGATGGTGGTGGTATCATATGAGATAATGTGCTCTTCCAGGTTGTTTTATCAACCTTTTCAGTAGGTTTTGGAGGGGGTGAAAAGACCACATGTGCTAGAGCAGACTTCCTCAACCTCGGCCCTCCAGATGTTTTTGGCCTACAACTCCCATGATCCTTAGCTAGCAGGGCCAGTGGTCAGGGATGATGGGAGCTGTAGTCTCAACTGGAGGGTTGAGGAAACCTGTGGTAGAGGAACAATCTGTAGAGGTTGGAACGATGATCACGGCCACCAAGGTGAGAAGGGGAGGGGGGAATACCTGTTGGCACATCTATTTTTGAGACAACGAAACCATGCACACAGCGGCCAACTTTTTCCTGTCCTCACCCTTTCACAGAATACGAAGCTCAAGATAAAATGGAACTTTATTGAACTCTCCTCAACCGGCTTCTCTAGTGCAGATTATCTTTCCCTATTGATAGCAATGAACGATCAGAGATGCTTGCATACGACACAACAGAAAAGCAACAATGTACTGAAAATAGGAGCTGCCTAATCTATTTTGTCAGCAAGGCACATGCCCCTTTTGGGGAGCTACGGGAGTGAGAAAATCAGTGTCAAATTGACAGCCAAAGGCACACATTATTGCCTTTGCTGGCAAAGGATTTTTGCTGGCGGGGGCAAAAGTGCATCAAAGAGCTCTCCTTGCTACCTCTCTAGACTAAGATGGCACAGAGAGAAAGCAATCCTCTTTCCAAGAACGGATGTCCTTAATCCAGTGTTGCCACTTGACTCCCAACGGGATATAGTAGCTAGGAGTGCCTTTTACCGCCTTTAGCTGGGATGCCAGACACAGCCATCTCTCAGAAGGGCTAACATAGCCACAGGGACCCATGTGTTGGTAACCTCAATACAGGACAGCTGCACTTTGTGGGGCTTCCCTTAAGGCTGGTTCAAAAGTTGCAACTAGCAAAGGATGCTGTGGCTAAGTTGTTGTGAATCAACTTACTACAGTAAACCAGGCCAGGTTTAAGGTTTCGTTGATGAGATATAAAGCTCTAAACAACTTAGGGCCAGGTTCCCCAAGGGAATGCCATTCCCCATATAGATCTACCCAGACATCATGATCTGCAAGTGAGCACCTTCGCCACTGCCAAACCACAGCTTGAACTGTTAGTGGATGCTGCTGTATCGTGTCTTATTAATTAACGTACCATTAATTTTATCTTTTTCATATATTGATATTAACGCTATTTTAGATGGCTGTGGGCTGCCTTAATATTATTTGAATAAATATGATATAGAAATGATTTCAATAAATTCATAAATTAAGAAAGAGTTGTATTACATACTGCACAAATAGCGTCCTACTTGGTGTGAGGAATATACAGTCCTGTAATCTGAAATGGCACAATAGTAAATGGCACAGAGGAAAACTCTCTTGATTCTGCTGACTTGCGAGTACTGGCTCTAACTTTCACACAAACTGAATTAAAGAATTAAGTGCTATCAAACCATAAGCCAGCAAAGAAGTTACTGCAGGAGTCTTTCATCTGCTTTTACCCGCAAAGCTAGCGGTTGCTAGCAGGTAAAGCAGAATATGGCAGTTTTGTTTTTAATTTGCCTATTCCACCCGCACATTAGACTGTCTGCTTGGCTTCCATAACAACATTTTCAAAAGAATCAGCTCAAAGTGAAGGTGAAATCTAGAAAGGTAAGAGTTATTCTGCTTGTAGGGTATGCTTGTGTTGAAAGAAATAGATTGCAGCAGCAGCTGCTTCAAACAGCACCAGCAGTATCTTTTAAAGTAACCCAGTTTGTGGGAGTATATTAATATTCATTTTGCTGCAAAATGTTTGGCCTTGTGAAAAAGCAGGAAATAAGCCCTGGACCTCATTGTAAACTTTATAGACCTAATTAGTGCCACTCTCAATATAGGCATCTTAAGATCAAGCTTGAGTAAATTGATGCTTTTTATAGTGTAATCTGGGAATGTGGGCAGATAGCTTTAACTAAGTTCAATTTTACTTTGCTGCGCCTTGGGGGTTTTTTCTTCTGACTCATGCCAACCACTAGGTTGCATATGTCCTAGATTGATACCCAAATAAATTTATCCATTTATTATTTGCATGTATAGCATGTTCTTTACTGGAAAACCCCCCTGGCTCTTCCTTCTGAGCTATCCAGCCATTCCCTTATCCTGTCTCCCGGGGACCCCTAATCTGGAACGTTGCCAGGTCATCAGTGTGGGAAGTAAGGCCCATCTGCCATCCGAATCAGTTTCTGAACACAGAATGGAAGAGTGGGCACTGTCTTGTCTTGTGTTTTGCGCTTTGGGGAGCAAATGTCTTGGGCTGGCCCTGACTGGGCCTCAATGAGCAAAGAAGGATATTGTAAAATGGGTCACAGACCGCATCCCTCCCAGATGTGAAGCAGTCATATGAGACCGAGGTGGATTTTAATGCTAGGAATGGTATATTCTGCCCAGAGATCCAGAGAGGCCCAGGCCACTTGATGGCCCGAGCCATAAAGTAAAGGTAAAGGGACCCCTGACCATTAGGTCCAGTTGTGACCGACTCTGGGGTTGCGATGCTCATCTCGCTTTATTGGCTGAGGGAGCCAGCGTACAGCTTCCGGGTCATGTGGCCAGCATCACTAAGCCGCTTCTGGCGAACCAGAGCAGCGCACGGAAACGCCGTTTACCTTCCCGCCGGAGCGGTACCTATTTATCTACTTGCACTTTGAGGTGCTTTCAAACTGCTAGGTTGGCAGGAGCAGGGACCGAGCAATGGGAGCTCAGCCCGTCGCGCGGATTCGAACCACCGACCTTCTGATCGGCAAGTCCTAGGCTCTGTGGTTTAACCCACAGTACCACCCGCATCCATACTTAAAATAAAAAATGATGACACATGGAAACAAAATAAGGCACAATCAATCAAAGAGTGGTTTGTTTATACAATCAGCTGGTCCGAAAGGACCGTGTTCATCATGGTCTAATCTTGTGCCATCAGGACAGATAATATTTTTGTTCATAAATACTTTTAAAAATATGGCTTTTTACCAAATTGCACCTGTTGTTTGCTTAAATTTGCAGATCTAAGCTGAGAGATAAGGAGTGAAACTGATCAAGTGACGAAAGAAAAAGTAGTGTTGAAATCGCCGCCTCACTTTGAGCTTGTGGCCGTGGGCTAAATGGCTCACCTGGACCCCACTCTGATTGGCCCTGATTCTACCTCCCACGTGGCCACTGCATTTGAGTAAGGTGCAAATGGATGTATGTAATCTCTAACCAGCCAGAGTCCAGTTTGCAGCACACCTTTCAAAGCCAGATTCACAGAAATAAAACCAAACGAAATACTGACGAGAGCATGACTTGATCTGGGAAAGGAACCTGTCGTAATTACACCTAGAGAACTCAAACTGATATCTAATAGAAAAAGATACCTTAGGGAACAATGCTGAAAAGGGATAGAAATGATGGATTAATAGGTTTTCTACATCACTAATTTTTATGTTCCAGTACAGAGAGTCAAGAGAATAGGGGAGATACACAGGGAGGGGGGCATGGCACCATATGCTCAGGAGCTGATAAGGACACTTACATAAAGAGAGAATTGGGATAGCCAAATAAAGCCCCCTATAAATAAGGTAACAAAGCACATCTCTGCTGTGGCTGGAAAAAGCGGGCAGGTGACACCTGCTCTTGTCGAGCTCCTGCTAAGACTCCCTAGTTAGTTAGAGAAGCAAATTACCTAAGGAAGGCCAGCATGAAAGGCTCTTTCGGAGGTTATTAGTGGGACTGGTCTCCTCAATGCAGCACTTGATTGGAGAAAGACAGAAAATTACAGGGCTTTGATTGTAGAGGGGAAGCTTTTAACTGCTTCCTGCTGTTCTGTCATTTGGTACTAGCCCCAAGTGGCCAAATTAAATTTGTGTCATGTTCCTCATTCCCTGACCACAAATCACTCTCTTGCAAGCTAGTGTTTTAAAAGAAGTGGGGGAAGCTTTCCACATGGTAGGAAGAAAAATATTCCTTCTAAATGATTGGATGGGGGTAGGGATCCCAATGACCACCTGTGATCTAGAGTAGGGTTCTTAAAAAACAAACCAACCTACTAGCAGTAATTTGTAACCATCGTTCCTTCAGCTAAATTCATGACCACCTTCGCCACCCTGCAATCTGTTTTGCTATGTGATCAAACAGAGCAGAGCAAGTGATTTCTGCGATTTTGGAGCAGCTTTTACCATTTCAGCTACTATTTCTGCAGAAAGGAAATTCTTTGGGAACTTGACATTAGAGGATTCTTTGTGTGCTGAGCATTCTGTGAGGTCATGTTGACTTGCTGGGCAATTTCACAGTTCCGACTAGAATAAAAGAAACAAGAAGGAACAAATAGCCAATAAATCAAATCCCCTTTCATAGCTTTCTTCAGACTTGATTCACACAGCAGTGTTTTTTCCTCAAATTAGGAGGTCATTTCCCCCAGTCATCCCCTGCTGGGTATCTTCCTGTTTTGTAGTCACCTCTACAAAAGATGGAGGATGTAATGATGTCACAGCTACCTGGATACACAACTGATTACTACCTTGTGAAGTAGCGGGGTGAGATTCTTCAACCAACCAGTGCAGATTAGAACTGCACCCAAATCTCTCCATGAAAATTGAGGAGGAGGGAGAGAGCTGGCAATGGGTCAAAAAGTTTCACAAAACACCATTTGCTTACCGTTCCCTGCCATCGCAGTATTCTTTTCATGAGCATTGATTGTTTGGGATTGCCTCAGGAAGATAACCAATCAGGGATCATATAGCCAACATGATGGTGCCACATGACCACAGAGCCATTCGTATTTTGCTCTGTGATGATATCTTGAAGCCAAATCAGAGTGCAGGCTAACAATTCTGCCATGTAGAAACATCTTGAAACCAAATTGGTGTCAGCATCGCCCTTGAGCCAGTGCCACCAACTGGACTCATACACTTCAGCTGGGTAGCACTTCCAGAGACCACCTTCTGCACAGGAACAGGTCAAAGTGCTGTGGACTCAGAGCTTAGAGTTGTGAGCACCGGATTCACTCCAACAAGAAGACAGTCGTCGCACAGCAGAGTATAGCAGGGCATAAACGACTCGGAGAGCAGCTCTGTAGAATATCTTCTTTTATTCTATCTACAACTATAATACGCAACTATGTACAGAGCTAAATGAGGTCTAAGCGAAAATGCTGAACTGCACTGAGTGCCTGCAGCTGTTCTTAGCAGCAACCTTATCTATACACACGATCTCTCGCTAACACTCAGTCTCTCTCTCTCTCTCTTTGATGTGAGGCTGGAGCGGAATAAGTAGAGAGCAGAAACCGCCCCCTCCTCTCTGGAGAATCAGCAGAGAACACCAGCAGATTCTTGGATATGGGAGGGGTGAAATCTCCTCAATCGGAACGGTCCCAGGAAGCAGAAATGCTTCCCACCCTCGTTCAGTGAACCAACACCTTGGGCCCATTCTGCTACCCTCGTCCCAATTTGCTGAGTCAAATTGTAGTCCAAACTGGAGGGGTTGGGGAGAGTGGGTTTCTTGAAATAAGGTAGTGGGAAGCAGAGATTTTGTAGGGGGGAGGTTCTAAGATACGGTAGGTAGTTTGCGAGCATGCCGAAAGCTGGAGCAAAGTTCCTAGAAGTGGCGCTTTGCAAGCAAGTCACAATCCATTCCCGTGATATCTGGATGTGATATCATGTATTGCGCAGATGAGTATCCTTTGGTCTTCAGGCTGCATGCAGCACAGTGGGGTGGCAAAAAGGTGTCCCATCCACTTGGGACACTGTCTCTGCCCCCTGCCCCATCCTCCCTCCCTCTCTTTCTCTGGCTCCTCTGAGCCAGATGCTGGCTGAGCTACTTCCTCCTTCTCTCTCTCTCTCTCTCTCTCTCCTCCCATTCTCCCCCATTCTACTGCTTCTGGGCCTGGCAACTGCCATCTGGCATCCCTTTCTCCTAATGCCGCCCCCACCCCCCTCAGCGGCACACACCGCAAACCCCACAGTCTCTGGAGAGCGAACAAATGCTTTCTCTTGCCCATTGCTGTTCTACCTGCCAGGTTCTGGTTTCTCTCTATTTGCTAATCCTCCACCACTGCTACCCTTGAGGGAGGAGCAGACGCCCTTCTGCATTTGCCGTGCCAGCGTCGGCGATCCCTCTGCTCACCTGCAGCCTGCCAGGTTGTCTCTCAAACCGTGTCCAGCTTTTCGCACGCTCTGCAAGCCAATGCCTTGCTGCTTCATCTGGGGTGCTGCCAACATCCTTGAGCCTGCCTCCATGATACCATCTTCATTTGGTGCCAGGCCACCTTGAGATGCCTGGCTGCAACCAGAAGCTCTGTGATAGCTGGGGTGCCTGCCTGCCAACCCTCTTCCCTTTTGCTGGCTCCTGCTGGCATTCCCTGAACATACATTCAGTGAAAAATAACTCTGGTGGTTACTTCAGGCTGTGCCTACCTTTCATTTGCCCCCCTCAGTGAGAGATTGTGCTCACAGATTCATACGCTCCAATATTAATCTGATGAAAATAGGGATGTCCTATTCAGTAATAACAATAATAATTATATTATTTATACCCTGCCCATCTCACTGGGGTGCCCTAGCCACTCCAGGTGGCTTCCAACATACATAGAAACATTAAAACATCAAACATTTTTTTAAAAAACCCTCCCTATACAGGGTTGCCTTCAGATGTCTTCTAAAAGTTGTATAGTTACTTATCTCCTTGGCTTGGGGGGGTCACATAACTCCATATCCTCCAGCTTTTCTCCAGTGAAAATAGGGACGTCCTAAGGAAAAGTGGGACATTCCAGAATCAAATCAGGAATTGGGATGGCTTTTGTAAATCTAGGACTGTGCCTGAAAAATAGAGACACTTGGAGAGTCTGCAGATTCTTATTTCTGAATATTCTCATCCGAGAGAGAGAGAGAGGGAGGGAGGAGAAGAAAGAAAGAAAGAAAGAAAGAGAGAGAGAGAGAGAGAGAGAGAGAGAGAGAGAAAGAAAGAAAGAAAGAAAGGAAGGAAGGAAGGAAGGAAGGAAGGAAGGAAGGAAGGAAGGAAGGAAAGAACGCCTTCCATCAGTGGCCTGCCTTTGGTCCATTTATCAGTGTTTCTCACATTTGGGTCCCCAGCTGTTATTGGACTACAACTCCCATCATCCCTGACCACTGGTCCTGCTAGCTAGGAATGATGGGAGTTGTAGGACCCAGCTGCAGACCCAAGTTTGAGAAACACTGATCCAGCTCATTAGCATCTATATCAGGGGGGCTCTCCTTGACCACTGCAGGAATTGATGGGAGCTGGAGGTCTCAAAAATACATAGAGGGCACATTACGTCTCACACCAGGTCTTGGGCACCACTTAAGATTAAATACAGGGTTGCTGCCCCTCTGGTCAGTTCTGTGGCCTACTGTTTTAGGCACAGTATCCTCAGTACGAGAGGATATATTTTCACTCCTCAAGGAACCTTTTAAGAGATATTTTCCCTCTTCCTGAGAGTAACAATGCCCTTCCTCAAGACCTTAATTCGCCATGACCACAGAGGAGCTGCTATCATGACTCCGAAGGCCTCATCTACTAACCCCCCGGTCTTTCTCAGCTTCTGCAGATCAGCTACCTTGGCCTCAGGGGAATAAACTTGTCCCCTGAGAGACATGAATTCATTACAGCGAGAGCGAAACCATGATTTCTATCCAGCAGGAAGATAATTGTCTACGTGACACCCTGGCCCATGCACTGAATAGTCCTCACACTCCTGGTAGTTTTCTACCCGCATCTTGTTATTGTTTATTGAGTTAACTTGCTTTGGAGAAGTAAAATCGCAGAAGCAGTAGGGATATGTGTGCCGCCCCCCGGTCTTACAGCCAGATGCACACACACACACACACACACACACACACACACACACTTCCTTCTTCTCTGTGGTGGCTGCCGCATGAAGGACGGAGAGATGTGACAGTTTCTGCTGTTGTCTCATGCAACATCTTTAACTGCCCTTAAGAAAACTACATTTCCTGGTGCTGGGCAGGGCTGGGTGATATACCAATATATCACCCAAAACCGGTTTGAAGTCCACATCATGATAAGGTAAAGGTAAAGCGACCCCTGACCATTAGGTCCAATCATGGCCGACTCTGGGGTTGCGGCGCTCATCTCGCTTTATTGGCCGAGGGAGCCGGCGTACAGCTTCCAGGTCATGTGGCCAGCATGACTAAGCCGCTTCTGGCGAACCAGAGCAGCGCACAGAAACACCGTTTACCTTCCCACCGGAGTGGTACCTATTTAACTACTTGCACTTTGACGTGTCTTCGAACTGCTAAGTTGGCAGGAGCAGGGAGCGAGCAACGGGAGCTCACCCCGTCGCGGGGATCCGAACCACCAACCTTCTGATCGGCAAGCCCTAGGCTCTGTGCCACCCGCCACTTTTGTTGGTATAAATAATATATTATTATTATTATTATTATTATTATTATTATTATTGTAGTACCTCAGGTTAAGTACTTAATTCGTTCTGGAGGTCCGTTCTTAACCTGAAACTGTTCTTAACCTGAGGTACCACTTTAGCTAATGGGGCCTCCCGCTGCCGCTGCGCCGCCGGTGCACAATTTCTGTTATAATCCTGAAGCAAAGTTCTTAACCCGAGGTACTATTTCTGGGTTAGCGGAGTCTGTAACCTGAAGCGTCTGTAACCTGAGGTAACACTGTATTACTATTGGATTCAAATCAGGGTTGTAATAGTCATCAAGAGCCCCTAGGACCAACACCAATTCCTCCAGGATTCTTTCTACCACCAAAGCTCTTATCTCCCTGGAAACCGTACGTGGGCATTGCTCTCACAATGGGTATTTCCATGACAGTGGAGTTGATGAAAGCTTTCAGATCTTTCATTGGAAAGCATAGCATCCTGGTTGCTTATGCCCTGCCCAGCCATGAGTCTAAAGTGATTTTATGCACTCCTCAGGTGAAGTGGGGGTTGCCATGATGCATGAAAACTAGCCTGTGGGGGGGGGGCGGGGGGTGGAGAAATTGCTCTGAGTTTCCTTTTCTCAGAAATATTTTTTCCCCTTTTCTCTTCCCTCTGAGTGAACACAGTTTAATATTTTCTTACTACCTATTCCGTACCATTTCTACTCACCTCTGAGCTCCCTCCCAAAGCGGCTTCCCGATTCAAAACACAAAAATACGCTGAGAAGCAATGAGATAAAAAAACCAAATGCATCAATTAAATCATTAAAACAGCTGGGCCCATTTAAAAATGCATTGCCTCAGCAGGTGCTTAAAACAGATTAAGGATATTGAGGAAAGAAAAAGAAGAAAAGTATTTGCTGCTCTAAGAACATATGAAGAGCCTGCTGCCTCAGGCCAATGGACCTTCTAGTCCAGAATCCTGTTCTCACAGTGGCAAGCCATATGCCTGTGGGAAGCCAGAAAGCAGAAGAGCACTCTTCCTTCCTGTGGTTTCCTCCTCTGGTATTCAGGAGCTTTGCTGCCTCCAGCTGTGGAGACAGAGCAACACCATTGTCTACCAGCTCCATCTGGTACGCCGGCTGGGACCCTACCTGCCCGCAGACTGTCTTGCCAGAGTGGTGCATGCTCTGGTTATCTCCCGCTTGGACTACTGCAATGCGCTCTACGTGGGGCTACCTTTGAAGGTGACCTGGAAACTGCAACTAATCCAGAATGCGGCAGCCAGACTGGTGACTGGGAGTGGCCGCTGAGACCACATAACAATGGTCCTGAAAGACCTACATAGCCTCCCGGTACATTTCCGAGCACAATTCAAAGTGTTGGTACTGACCTTGAAAGCCCTAAATGGCCTCGGCCCGGTATACCTGAAGGAGCATCTCCACCCCCATTGTTCAGCCCGGACATTGAGGTCCAGTTCCGAGGGCCTTCTGGCGGTTCCCTCCCTGTGAGAAGTGAGGTTACAGGGAACCAGGCAGAGGGCCTTCTCGATAGTGGCGCCCACCCTGTGGAACACCCTCCCATCAGATATCAAGGAAATAAACAACTATCTGACTTTTAGAAGACATTTGAAGGCAGCCCTGTTTAGGGAAGTTTCTAATGTTTGATGTTTTATTGTGTTTTTAATATTCTGTTGGGAGCCTCCTAGAGTGGTTGGGGATACCCAGCCAGATGGAAGGGGGAATAAATAATAAATGATGATGATGATGGCTGGTAGTCATTGATAGTCCTCTCCTCCATGAATTTGTCTAACCCTCTTTTAAAGCTATCCAGGTTGTTTTCCATCACTGCCTCCTATGCCGTTTTAAAGATGAAAACAGAAGGACGCTAAACAATCGTTTTCGGGTTTGAGCTCCACAATCTGGATGCTGCTACTACTCTCCAAGACCACCTCTAAAGATGACATAACATTGGAGCAGGATCTCAAATGTTGAACGCAAAGCAACCAGGTTCATTTGAGAGAAGGCAGTCCTTCAGCTGACCACGCCCCAAACTTTTTTGGGGTTCATATGTAATAACCAAGACTTTGGACTGGAAGTTAGCACAAATGAAAAAGAACTGGTGTGTTATGTTCTGAGAAGGGAACTCTGGAACTACGCTGACTGCCGCATTTTGCACCAGTTGGAGTTTCTTCAAGGCGATCCCTTTCAGTAGTCTAAATTGGCTCATCTTTGGCCCATAGCTCTGCCCTGTTTCAGTCATTTTGCTGCCTATCTGTCATCCCAGTGGTTTATCTGAGCTCCCCTCAGCCTAGAACAGGCATTCTACCAAATCGTACAGCTCCTCAATTGCACTCTCAATGGAGCAAATTAGTGGTAATGAAAATCAGGATGAAAATGCTTAGGGATGGAAAGTCCATCAAAACAACTCTGTAATCTTCCTTCTGCGTCTGCTGCGATATAATGAGTATCTTGCCAGAAAGTAAATATAAAATATGAAGAATCCCCCCCAGCGTGTAAGATTCTACTTTTAAAGAGTGTCCGTTTAAATAACATGAACACACACACAAACAGAGAGAGAAAGAGTGCACAGAATCTCTTTAGGCTTGTATTTCCTCAGTTTTTTATTCTTTTTCTCCTGAGAGAAGTCACTGGGGAAGCAATTTGTTTCTTTTTAACTAAGACAGGAACCTTTGAAGTCATGGTGTCTTCTGCCTCACCAAGTGCCCCATTTAATCTCTCAGGGTGGGGCAGTGTAGGGGGCGGGGGTTTGATGTCAAATCGAAGCTTTCCTGAGCTGTTAACTACTTGCAAGACTCTTACATTATTTACAGCTCTGGCAAAGCGATTTCCCTAGTCAGCAGACAGGCTATCTACAAAGCACACTCCTTGGATATCAGTTAGTCTTCAGCACTGAATGAGTTGCTAATGATAATGCACATGGGATTCTGTGAGGAGAAGGAACCTTTAAAGATCTTTAGAAATAACCTGAGTGACCCACTTTCTGTGTCAGTGCTGGATTTAGGGCGGTGCAGGCAGTTCCACCCCCCCCCCCCCATGGATGCCGAACCAAGGGGGTGCAAAATTGAGAAGATCTGTAATTGAGAAGATCCATTTGGGGCACCAAATTTTGGCCTTGCACAGGGCACCATATTGTAACAGATTGCCAAAGTCCGCCCCTATTCTGTACCAGATCTGTACCATACATTCAAAGCACATTCAGTGCACATGACTTTCACCAAACAATCCTGGGAAATGTGGTTTCCCTTTTGCAAAGCTAAAATTCCGAGCATCCTGAACATACTTCAGTTCCTAAAACTCTTTGGGGGAAGCTACATGCTTTCAAAGTACATTGGATGAGCTTTAAATACATGGTGTGGACCTGAAATAGGTTTTCTTGCTTTCCCCATCAGAGTGCAAAGCCATTGATGCCGTTGTCCTTTGTAAATTATCTCATAAAATTAAAATACATGTTTCCATGTTGTGCCAACGTAATCAAAGCTTATTTCACAGATACAATACAGCTCTTACATAGGTGAGCTACACACCAGTATCGGGCAGCAGGGAGAGGTGTTGGTGCTTACCTGATCTGCTGTCACTGGCATCACTGCGCTTACCAGGAGCGAGAGGCAGAGGGGAGGTTGGTTCTCAAGACCAGGAGGTGGGGAGATGGCCTCCCTTTGGGGCAGAGATGTCTCTGGTAGCTTCCAGACTGGATTACTGCAATGCTCTCTATGTGAAGATAACCTGAAGACAACTGAGAAACTTCCACTGGTCCAAAATGCATCAGTTGATGTTTTCTTTAGAACACAACTCTCTCTGGTTTTGCAACAGCTGTGCTGGTTGCCAGTTTGTTTCTATGCCCAATTTAAGGTGCTCATTCTAGGGTTTCCAGGCCTAAACTACTTAGGCCCCAAATATCTGAGAATCTACCACCTTCTCTACAGACCCTCTTAGGTGTTAAGATCAGAACTTGCTAGTTCTGCCATCCTCAGAGGTACAGGGGTGCATAGGAGCCAACTCCTAGGGGCCGAGGTTCCTTCAACCCCCAGTGAAATATTTGAGGAGGCCACAGCCCCCCAAAGTTGGTTGGCATTCCCATTCAAATGGTGGGCCCGTGCTGTGTCTTGTGATCGATTATACAGGGCGGGGCTTACTTGACCCTACCCAATAGTTAATTCAAGGTGGCACCCCTGCAGGGGTGTGACCTGGGATAGGACATTGTCTGTCAGAACCCCTAAATTGTGGAATCTGGCATCGTTGTTGTTGTTGTTGTTGTTGTTGTTGTTGTTGCAGGAAGGGGTTGAGAGGAACTGCCGAGTTCGTGGCAGATGCAAGATGTGAACCAAAAACTCTCTGACTCACAGCCTGGCATCTGCAACAAAACAAGAGCTAATGTAATGTTTGTCCCCAAATAATTTCGGCTGGATCTTAAGCTTCCTCCCACTGGCAGTAGCATCTCCTGAGAGGAGTTCCATTCAGAATCTCCTCACCAAATGAAAGCAGGGAAGAGGCAATTTTGGCCAACTTCCCTTTCCATCTGCTGTCTCCAGAGCTGCCTCCCACATTGTTCCAGAAGGTTCCCCAAGCCCCTGGAGCAGATTTTCAGGGACATAGAGGAAGGGAGGAATTGATGGAAATCACATCCTCCCCTATTCAACTGTCAACATTGAGCAGAACATTTCTGCAGAGGAAGGAGTCCTTCCTTGTTTGGTACCAGAGGCAAAGTCTAGATCTAATCCTTTATTTTCTAATTTTGGGGAAAGTTGGATACTTCTAATAACTATTATGTCTTTTATTTGGAAACTTCCTGATGCTTCCAGCTTGTTGTCTCTCGTTTGATAATAAAAAGTCCATTTAGAGCTGTGGCAAAGAACACAATATATACAATGGCAAAAAGGCAATTTGTAGAAGTTGCAGCTTCTCTGTCTGAAAGTTTTGAAGGTTGGAACTTGCCTGAAATCTATAAAATCAATTGGCTATCTGTAAAATAACTTGCAGGTAAAGCAGCAGGAAGAATAAGCAAAGAAAGGCGTCTGATACCTTCTATTTTCTTCCTCTCAGAACTGCCGCACAACCAATCAAAGCAGTCAACATAACTCAGCAGGGTGAATTTAAACTTTTGACTTCTATTCTTACTTTGCAAAAGGAAGGGAGAGTGGGAAAAATGACATTTGTTATGAAAGGAACAAAAACGGTGCAATATTTTGTGCCTGGGATATTTATTCAAAGTCAGCGAAACGTTTTGCTCACAAAAGGACATAGCACCTACCCGCCCGAAGGATTTCCGAATTTACAATTGACCAGTTTCCTGTCTTTCAAAGCTAGCTTCATGTACGTGAGCAGAGTGTGCCGAACGCCTTCAGAACTTTTAGGAGCCTGGTGCTTTCACGCTTGTTCTCGCCCTAATAAATCAAAACTTTCAGGCCTGCACTCCCCGGTAAAAACTACTTTGGTTAAGGGAAGGTTGCTGTTTATGCATTTTTACAGCCATGAATCTTCTGGCTGGTATTCCTGCTGACTATAATGCCTCACAGCCATTCTGTAATTGTGAGTAAAAATGCCACTCATTTGCCAAATTACTTAACTAGAAAGGTTTGCTTACAGAAAGAACTGAGGAGAAGGGAGGGAGAGGACGGAGGGGAAGATTTAAAAAGGCTGCTTGCAGAAATTATACCACAGCAGCAGAGAAGTCTGGTCACCTTAAGGATTTGGCTTTCTCTGAGAATAACCCAGCAGCAAATAAGTCCCAGCAAAGGAAGATCGGATACAAAAACTTATGGAATATGCAGAAATGGCGAAACCTACCGAAAGAGTAAAAAAATCAAGACAACAAACTTTTTATAAAAGAATGGAAATGTTTTATTGAATATATACAGATAAATTGTAAACAGATAAGAACATTGGCAGCATTATTGTAATAACCTGCAGTTTGATAAGAGTATATATTTAAAGTAGATGAATAAATGAGCAAATTCAGTTAATTTGCATATGCAGAAGATATTTAAAAATTAATTTAAGGAACCGCAGAAAGAGGGGGAAGGAAGTCAAGTTTTGAAACGTTAAAATGATTGTAAAATTAGTGAAATGTATAAACCTGAAAATTATATTAACCATATTGCAAACACTTTAATTTACTATATGGAAATTTAATTCAGCATGCAGCCCCCAGGTTCTGAGTGAAAGTATTCTTGCGGCCCATTCTTGCAGTCTAAGAAGTTGGACCGACCTGCATTATAGGTTTTATTACAAACAGGTAAAGGTAAAGGTACCCCTGCCCGTACGGGCCAGTCTTGACAGACTCTAGGGCTGTGTGCTCATCTCACTCTAGAGGCCGGGAGCCAGCGATGTCCGCAGACACTTGGCCAGCGTGACGAAGCTGCTCCGGCAAACCGGCACCAGAGCAGCACACGGAAACGCCATTTACCTTCCCGCTATAAAGCGGTACCTATTTATCTACTTGCACTTAAGGGTGCTTTCGAACTGCTAGGTGGGCAGGAGCTGGGACCGAACAACGGGAGCTCACCCCGCCGCGGGGATTCGAACCGCCGACCATGCGATCGGCAAGTCCTAGGCACTGAGGTTTTACCCACAGCGCCACCCGCGTCCCCTATATATATATATATATAGTTACGTGCATAATTAAAATCATCATCAACAACAACAATATTACTTATACCTCACCCATCTGGCCAGGCCTCCCCAGCCACTCTTTGAGGCTCCCAACAGAATATAAAAAACACGATAAAACATCAAACATTAAAAACTTCCCTAAACATGGTTGCCTTCAGATGTCTTCTAAAAGTCAGATAGTTGTTTGTTTTCTTGACATCTGATGGGAGGGCGTTCCACAGGGCAGGCGCCACCACCAAGAAGGCCCTCTGCCTGATTCCCTGTAACCTCACTTCTCACAGGGAGGGAACCACCAGAAGGCCCTCAGAGCTGGACCTCAGTGTCCGGCTGAACAATGAGGGTGGAGACACTCCTTCAGGTATACTGGGCTGAGGCTGTTTAGGGCTTTAATGGTCAGCACCAACACTTTGAATTGTGTTTGGAAATATACTGGGAGCCAATGTAGGTCTTTCAGGACCAGTGTTATATGGTCTCGGCGAAGTGAGTTCTTGTATATGAAGGGTTTTAGCACCATAAATATGATAGTCTTCATAGACCAGGGGTCGGCAACCTAAGGCCCATGGGCCACAAGCGGCCCATGGGGGTCGTTTAACCGGCCCAGGGACCCCTGCCGCCCACTTGGGGACCCTCGCCACCCTCTCGGTCGGCTCCCGTGCGCCGTTTTAAACTGGCATGAAGCAGAGCAGGGACCGTCTTCCGTGACGCTGGCCAGCTTCTCACTCCTGCAGCCAATGGGAAGCTGCGCACGCCTCTTCCACGCTGGAAGGGGTGCTGGAAATAGCGTTTGCACATGCGTGTATGTGCGCACACACACATACTCCG